TCGCTATCCAGATTCCAACACTTCCCCTCGAGTCGCAGAGTGGTCTTTATCATATGACTTCATTCCCATCATTGTAACGCAATCCTCATGTTTATTTCGAGGAAGTCTTTTGGTTAAGATATCTGACAACATATTCTCTGTTGATATATGACCAATACTGATGATTCCATTTTTTAAAGCTTCGCGGATGAAATGATAACGGATGTCTATGTGTTTACTACGTGCATGAAATGTAGGATTTTCAGAAAGTTTGATAGCACTAAGATTATCGTTAAACATCTTCATCTTAGAAAGATCGTTCAATCCCAATTCCAAGAACATTTTTCTTAGGTAGATACCCTCTTTCAATGCCTCTGTCATTCCCATATATTCTGCTTCGGTTGAAGACAAAGCAACAGTTTTCTGTTTCTTGGATTCCCATGAAATGGGACCACCGGATAACATAAAAGTAAAACCAGTATATGAACGTCGATCATCGGGACAACCTCCCCAATCGGCATCAACATAACCTGTCGGTCCATCTTCACTTCCACATCTAAAGATTATTCCAAGATTCATAGATCCTTTTAAATAACGTAAAACACGCTTTGCTGCGATCCAATGTGTTTTTGAGTAGCAATTATTGAATTGACACAAATAACTTACAGTGTAGCTAATATCAGGTCTTGTAGCCATTGATAAATAATTCAAAGCACCAATTAATTCTCGATATGGTAATTTAGTTTCTTCAACACTTACAGGATTAACATTTTTCTGCAATTTCGTATTACAATCCATAGGCGTGCTCACAGGATTCGCATCACACATTCCAAAACGATCCAGTAAGTCGCATATGAATCCTCTTTGATGAACTTTAATTTCTTTTGCGGTTCTTTGGAATTCTATTCCTAAGCAATAACCTACTTCTCCAATATCCTTTACATCAAATATAGAGGAAAGTTTTCTAATCAATCCCTTAATATCTTCCAAATTTCGTGATGCGATAAGAATATCATCGACATACACGACGATTAAAATTGATTCTTGACCCTTCCCAATTTGATACAGACAGGAATCTCCGTTGCTTGGTTTTGCTCCGAAGCGCTGCAAAACTTCATCCAACTTAAAATACCATCTTCTTCCTGCTTGGCGAAGTCCATAGAGTGACTTCTTAAGTAAACACACCTTGTTACCTTTTTGTAATGATTCTATCATCTCTGCTGCTTTGTTTCCAATATTGGATTTATCTTCCCTGGAAATTTTGTACAGTATTTTATCCAATTGTTTTGGAGTTTCCATGTACAAAGTTTCTTCCAATTCTCCGTTTAAATATGCACTGACTATATCAAGTTGACGAAGGTGCATGTTGTAACGAGCAGCTAGTGCAGTAACCAACCTTACTGAACTAAGACGTGCAACCGGGGCAAATGTTTGGTTAAAATGAATGCCCAGTTGTTGACTGAATCCTTGTGCGACAAGTCTTGCCTTTCTCTTTTCTAGTGAACCATCTGCGTTGTATTTATTCCGCAGTACCATACGACTGCCAATAACTTCTTGGTCAACAGGTCGCTCAACTAATATCCATGTATCATTTTTTATTATGGACTTTATTTCGTTGGCCATGGCATCATACCATTCTTCTACTTCATCGCTATTTAACGCTTGATTCCATGTAACTTCATCGGTTGATGCACTTTCAACTTCTGAAGAATTTCCTGTATCGTTCGAAATCATATGAAACATCTTCCGCGGTCTTCCCCTTAAACCTGTCTTCACCAAATAAGGTCTTCCTGGTCCGCGTTTCATTTCTTCTGTATTTGTGTGTTCTTGAGAAACTTGTAAGCCATTGATTTCTTCTTTCGCAATATGCTCCTCTTCAACTTCTTCAATTTCTTTAATTTCGACTAATACTTTATCCACTTCAAAAGTATTTTCCTTGTCCTCCTCAAAAAATTCTATGTACTGCTTTTCTGAATTAATGTTTCCTTCCAAGAACTTAACGTCTCTTGTAACTTCTACTTTCTTATCTTCCACCAACCAAACTCTGTAACCCTTGGTTTGCTCAGAGTAGCCGAGAAATATTCCTTGTTTACATCGGGCATCAAATTTTCCCTTACCAGGTTTCTTATGCAAGCAGAACACTTTACAACCAAATTCTTTAAAATTACTAACATCTGGTTTCTTACCATTCCAGACTTCATAAGGAGTTTTTCCATCTAAGCTTTTTGAAGGGCAGCGATTACGAATGTAGTTAGCACAATTGATTGCTTCAGCCCAAAACGATGGTGGTAAACCTGATTGAATCAGCAAACAACGTGCAGTGCTTACAAGAGTACGATTCTTCCACTCTGCTATGCCGTTTTGTTGTGGGCAATAAGGAGCTGACAAACGTCGTACAATACCGAGTTGACTCAAAATTTTGTCCATTTCCTCGTTCTTGAATTCTGTTCCGTTATCTGACTGAAGACATTTTAATTTTCTGTCCTTTTGATTTTCTACTTGAGCTATAAATTCTCTCGTGATTTTAGGAATTTCACTTTTGGATTTGATAAACCGCACCTCACACCAACGTGAACAGTCATCTATGAATTCGACGTAGTATCTGGCTTTTCCATTTGATTCGACCCTCATAGGTCCACAAACGTCTGAATGGACAATTTCCAATAACTCAGTTACTCTATCTGACTTTCTAGGATACGGTTTGCTTATCATTTTCCCCAAACAACAAACTTCGCATTCTGGATTAGTCTGTCGTGAAATATTTCCAATATTTACACCATTAAAAACACCTCTACGCACACCTTTTTTGATGGCTTCAAAGTTTAGATGACCTAGACGGCGATGCCACAACATTAAATTGTTGGAAGTGACAACAGATGAAAACACAATGTCTTTGTTTATATTACTATTCTGTTTTGTGTTTACATTAACGTAATATAAATCACCAACACGATCTGCTGTAACTTTGATACTACCATGCTTGTCTATAACTACGGCCTTATCTTTTTGGAATAACACATCGAAACCTTTGTTGGTTATTTTACTTACAGACATTAGGTTAGCTCGCAAGTCTGGTACAAATAAAACATCATTAAGATTAATGTTAATTCCCAAAGATTTCATGGTGATCGAACCCTTACCGACAATTTCTGTTGACGAATCATTAGCTAAGTTTAATTGTTCGCGATCACATTCGCTAAATTTATTAAAATCCCGGCTGTCCCTACACAAGTGAGAAGTCGCGCCACTATCCAAGCACCACTTATTTTTATTCGCGGAACCAACCGTAAAAACTTCAGTCAAAAGACTAACATTTTCCGAACAATTAGCACTCGCTGACGACATGGGGTTATTGCGATTCATTACTCTGCAATCCGACGCTTTATGTCCAACTTTATGACAGCGATGACACCGGTATTTAAAACGTTCTTTGGTATCCTTATTCGAAATTTTATCATCTTTTTGAAATTTCGGACGTCGCCACTGACCTTGTGACTTATTCGCATACAATGCATTACCAGCGGAACTACAACCACGTGTATCGTTATTTCGCGCGTCGCTTTCTTCGATTATTTTAATTCGAAGAGCATCTACAGATGGTAATTCATCTCGCGTTTCTATCGCGCAACGAAAATTTTCGAATGATCCCGGTAAACTGTACAAAAGCATTATAGTAAGCAAATCCGGATTAATTTCTATTGACATTTCGTTCAATTTATCAACAGTATCAAAAAATCGATTCAAATGTTCACGAACATCACGTCCCTCTTCTAATTTTTGTAGGGTGAGTTGCTTTAATAAAGTCGCTTTCCTCGCGGGACCTTTAGACTGATAAATACCCTCTAATTTATCCCAAATATCGCGAGCGGTAGCACAGCCCTTTATTTGTTTAAGCTCGGATGAACAAATAGATAAAATGATTTCTGACCTTGCTTTTCCATCACGTTTTATCCACATTTCGATCTCATCGTTTTCAGAAGTAGACGATGGTTTAGGTGAACTTCCATCGACGGCTGACCACAAGTCGAGTTTTACTAAAAGTGCTTCCATTTGTATTTTCCAGGTGTCGTAGTTTTCCTTGTTCAAAAGTTCAACACGTGTTGCGTTTACATAATTCATCGTAATATTTCTTCCGATTATTCCTGCGCAATCACATCCAAAAATACGGCAACCAAATTCACGTACAAACTGCTAAATCAATTACAAACTATCTGGGCCCATAACCTATGAGATAATGGAGTAGCAGAGTAAGCAATTAGCCTTAGTGAAAACGTTAACTGTTTATTATTTATTATTAACTGTCAAGCTACCTTAATTATGACAACTCTCACTCACTTGATCATAATGTACAATGTGACTCGCTATCCAGATTCCAACAATGTTCCAAGATCGGACTACTAGATCAAAAGTTACAGCCCTTTGAATTTTTTCTCGAAATTGGTTTTTTGTCCATAACTTTTGGTGCTTCATATCAGTGGCTAACTGCCTATACCCCAAGCAGCTTTATCCCAAGACAGAATTGTAACTAGGGATGAGACCTGACCGTACTAGGACTCACCAACGAAATAAGTTCATAAATGCTTTTCAACATTTAAGAAGGTGAAAACCAATTTTGATTTGGAGGGGGTGGCGGAATTTATAACCACACTTAAAGCACACATTTTTCAAGAAGTAACCAACGAATGCAGATTTAAAGAATTAGAACAGTCTTGATCTGGCACCCAGTGACTGTTGTCTCTTTTCAAATTTCGAAAAACACTTGAGAGCGTCGCTTTTGATCGAATCACAATTTGAAAATGGCAGGCGAGTCCTAGTGGCGTACGAAATGACGTAAAAATACATACGCAACAAATTATTATGCAAACCCGTGTTTTGTAAAATAAGATCTTTCAACCTTCAACGTTCGTTATCGTCACACTAGTGTTTACACACATGTTTGAATTAGTATATGATATCATAAGTAAGATTTTTTATCACAAGAAAAGATGCTGATTGGAGGAATCAATTAATACAAGACACAATAATTAATTTATTTAACGATGTCTAAAGTTTAGATAACAATAAATTGTGTAACTATATTATTCTCAATCTAACAAAAATAATTAGTATATAAATTACTTTCTTAAATTCGGCGAAGAATGACGACAGTAAGGATCCTTCCCTTAATTTTGGTATTGTTTCGAATAGTTAACGTGGAGGAGTCTAACGTACTTGTGAAAACAAGGCATGGTGTTTTGAAGGGTTATGTGAGAGAAACGTGGAGAGGTAGGTCGATTTTGGCCTTTCAAGGTATTCCTTACGCACAACCTCCTGTTGGGGGTAGACGCTTTCAGGTATGACTGATAGTATGTAAGTTTAAGTTCCCGATTTTTACCTGTTAACAGCCGCCTGTTCCCGTCGATGCATGGGAAGGTGTCTTGAGTGCCAATAAGTCGCACGCATTTTGTCCTCAACGAGACGTATTCGGGGACGATAGCAAAGTATTTGGGGACGAAGACTGTTTGTTCCTTAATATTTATACACCAAAGGTAAGGCATTTTATTGCAAATGATCAGCTAGGAAATGTATTAAATATATTGTAGACCGCGACCTTTGAGCCCCTACTTTTACCAGTGATCGTGTATATCCATGGGGGAGGTTTCACAAGTGACAGTGCTAATCCTGAGTTGTACGGGCCGGATATCCTTCTCGACAAGGATCTAGTTTTGGTTACAATTAATTATAGACTAGGTGAGTGGGAAAGTTATCGTGAACCTATCAGTACATATGACTAATTTTAGGTGCTCTGGGCTTTTTGAGCTTGGAGGACGATGTCCTCCCTGGAAATAACGGGTTGAAAGATCAAAATCTTGCGTTAAAGTGGGTAAAGAGCAATATTAACAGATTTGGAGGAAATCCGAATAAAATCACGATCTTTGGCAATTCTGCAGGTGGAGCCAGCGTCTATTATCACATCCTTTCTCCCGCCAGCAAAGGTAAAAGCCGTAACAGTTGATGTGTCTGTGGTAGTTTGCTTGTAGGCTTATTCCATGCGGCCATCTCCAGCAGTGGAATTGCTACGAGCTCTTGGGCTTTGGAAAAGCGCGGTGAAGCACGGAAACGTGCCCAGAAGCTCGCTAAACAACATAATTGCCCCACCTCATCCAGTCAAGTAATTTTAAAGTGTTTGCAGCGTGTTAATGCGGACGACATTGTACGACATGTCCACAAATTGATGGTAGCTCAAACTACTAATGACAGCTCATCTTTCACCTTCGCTTATAGGAGTTTAGCAACGAGAACAGCATACCGTATAGACCAGTGATTGAACCTAAAATACCTGGGGCATTTATAAGCGACCACCCAATTGACATAATTAAATCCGGACAATTCGCCCAGGTTCCATATATTAGTGGAATGACCAAAAATGAAGGTGCTATGAAATCTGCTGGTAGGTACTTGACGAAGCGTCCATTCGCCTCTCATTCATTTTCTTCTAGCCTTTTATGCAAACGCCACCTTGATAGATATACTTAACGAAAAATTTGACGATATTGCCCCATTTCTGTTTTTCTACAATACCTTCGATTTCAAACGGAAGGTTTCAAGAGTAATACGCAGATTTTACTTCCAGGAAAAGTCCATCGATAACAGCACCAAATCGGAACTAACCGACGTAATTTGATCATAGCTCTCTATTCCTATCCTTTCTTAGGTTATTACAGATGAGCTATTCTACTACCCTCAAAGAGCCACCGTCGAACTACATTCCGCCGTTTCCAGTGCACCGGTATACTTCTACTTGTTTGGCTACCGAGGTACAGAGAGTTCGTCCAGATATTTTGGCGATCCCACGCACGACTATGGTAAGCAAAATTAAGCGTATTGACTCACAATTGACTAATGCTGCAGGTGTCTGTCACTGTGATGATTTGACCTATCTGCTAAGCAACGATTACTTCGACAACTACAGACCGTCGCAAGCGGATTTGAAGATGAACGACGTTATGACAACGCTACTGTATAATTTTGCAAATTCTGGGTGGGTAGTTGATCAAAATCGTAAAAACCTCACTGTTGGTTTTGGCGCAGGGATCCAACACCAAAAACGGATTCGATAATTACTAGCAAGTGGAAGCCAGTTCACAAAAATAAGTTTAGATACTACGCGATTATGAGGTATGATGAAATTGACATGAAGAGGCAGCTGTTCGAGGAACGGTATCACTTTTGGAAGACGATACCGACGTTTGCACAACTGAGCAGCGCCGCTGATTAGGAACTGCAAAATTATTAGGAAAACAAACAGGAATATTGCGGTTACGGGCCGGTTTAGCATGTTATCAGATTATTATCTAAATAGTTGTTTACGTACCAAGTAAATTTAAGATGTCCCTTACTGACTGAGGATTTTTTATAAATTCTAGCAATGTGACGTAAAACGATTAATCTGAGGTCAGATGCGTCAGTAACAATGTTTACATCTGAATATTGACGTTCGTTTATATGAAAGTAAAGTGGTTTGTATATGGATGCTATTACTATAGCATCTTCATAAAACTCGATAGCGAAAGGTGTCAATAGCAACTTGGGTATGCTAACTTAATTTAATGCCAACAATAAATCGAGCTCATTATCAAACTGATCAGGTTCTCCTAGGTTTGGAAGGAGCCTGCAAAGCGATCAAAAAGCTCTAGAATGAACTACAAGGCGATTTCCACAGCATTTTTTGAATCCAGTCTAAAACAACTCCTTGGAATCGAGAAAGTATTTTTTAGAGATATTGCAAGCACCTGAGAATTTCAGGAGGGGTTTGGATGTTCTAAAGGCGCTAAAGCGCTGGAAGAACGATAGGATCCTTTGGAGAGTCTTGTGGGCTCTTTTCATTACCCCTCAAGTGCTTTTAAATAATTGAAGCTTTGCAAGTTCTGAAAGCAATGGACACTGTAATTAAAGAGCTACTACAGCGCTCTGTGATTATCCTGAAAAGCCTTCATGCTCAGAAATCAAGTTCTATCCTAGAGAAATCATGTTCTATCTTAGAGCGCTTTTGAGTTGGCCTATAAAACATTATAAAGGATCAGGAAAGCTGTAGATGGCCTAGTAGATAAGTCTGGAAACAGTCTCATAAGGTTCTCGAGAGGAACACTAGCATACCTTTGGAAGCCTAGAATAGCTGGCAAGCATTAGAAGTCTTTCAAACCTTCTATCTTAACGTGTTTACCAGAGTATCTTCAAAATGTTTTGAAAGAATAACGCCCGAATGCTTTAGGAAGTTTTCTATGTTCTACGGTTAGTGTTTTGCATAGCTTTCTAATGCCATTCCAAAGGGATTCCTAAAGGGATATTTAATGCTATAATTTCATAGTGAACGCAAATTGGTCGGTCGTTTTGGCAACCTCATTCAAAGAAAATTGTAAAAAGTTCGAGGTTATAAACCGTTTTCGTCAGATACGCACACGTGCAAATTCGAACTACCGCCTAGATTTATACAATTACAAAGGGACGTTTCTGACGAATAACTCATAGTTAAAATGGCGTTTCGACTAGTAAACAACTCAATTCAAAAGCAAAAATGAATCAGTTTCAGAGTTTGGCCTTTATATGTTATATGTGTATATGTTTTATTATTTATATACTTTTTTTGTGGGAGCTAGTTTCAGTGCAGTTGATATAAATACAAAGTTCATTGCCAGATCAATTCCATACAATCATTGAATAAAGAATATGTCTTTATTAAATGATACAAGAAGCAGAAAGATTAAAGAATTTTTCTTTATTCGATGATAGAATAAAAGCTTATCGTACAGGGAAGATTCAAGCAAATTGCAATATTTCCCAGAGAGGTCCAATTTTTCGTCTCTGAATTGTCTAGCTTTTGGGCAGAGCTCTAATATACCACCCTTCATATCACATTACTAATCGGTTCACCTTCACTTTGTAGTTTAGGATAAATATCTAGCTTCTTCCAAAAGTTATATCGATCTTCAAATAAACGGTCTCTCATCGTCACATCGTCCGGTCCAATTATGGAGTAGTACCTAAACTCATTATCCTTTAGTGCTTTCCATTGCGTTTTCAGAACGGAAGTAATCTCCGGTGTGGGCTTTCTGTAAAAATAGTGATATTTGGCGGCGTTAACGACGCTATCTGCGCAGATACCCTGTCTTTGCAAAGTTATACAGCAACGTAGTCATAAGGTTGTTCATTTTTAAATCGGCCTCCGTTGGTCTATAGCTGGACATGTACTGATGGTTCAAGATGTAATTTAAATCGTCACAATGGCATACACCTGCGACATGGTTTTTAAAAGGGGAATTTGGAAATTTTGGTTACCGTAGTCATACGTTGGGTCCCCGAAGTAAGCCGAAGCTCTGAGCGTGCCTTTGTAGCCAAATAAGTAGAAGTATACCGGTTGACTGGAGTATTTGGCGTGTATTTCACTCGTGGCTCTTTGAGGGTAGTAAAAGTACCCATCTGTCAGCACCTGAAACCAACTTCAAGCCTAACTCAAACAGTTTCATGCTTACGTCTGTTAGTTCCGACTTCGTATCATTACCGATCGATCTGTCATTAAAATAAAACTTTCGAATAATCGCTGTAATCCTCTGTTTAAAGTTTTGGTCGCCATAGAAGAGCATTATCGGAACAATATCCTCAAATTCATTGTTCAGTCTTTCAACTAAGCTATGATTGGCGTAAATAGCTGTAAAAAGTTGTGATTATTTTATGGGGTTAGGTAATTGTACCTGCTGACTTTAAGGCTCCATCATTTGCTGTTAACCCCAACATGTATGGAACTTGTGAGAATTCTCCGGATTTAATTATGTCAATTGGGTGATCGCTGATGAAAGCTCCGGGATTTTTTGGTTCAATAACCGGTCTATGTGGTATACTGCACTCGTAATGAAACTCCTAAGGGTAGATCATGAACAATTGTGAAAGTAAACGTTTCATACCATTAAATTCTGAACCAGTCTAACTATGTCATGGGCATCGACACCTTGTAAGCACTTGACAATCTCTTCACTGGATGAAGCAGAGCAATTTAACGACTTGGCCAATTTTCTGGCAGCCGCCCGACCTTCGCCAGGTTTTGCTAACGCCCAAGGGCTCGTAGCAATCCCACTGCTCGAAATTGTCGCGTGAAATAATCCTACCGACATCTATATTACACTCGGATCGAAAATGGTTCCGTCATACCTCTGCTCAGTGGGGAAAGGATGTGATAGTAAACACTAGCTCCACCTGCGGAGTTTCCAAAAATGGTAATTTTGCCAGGATCACCCCCAAAACTTTCGATATTATCTCTGACCCACAGTAACGCTATGTTTTGGTCTTTCAAGCCGTTATTTCCAGGAAGGATGTCATCTTCCAAGCTTAGAAAACCCAACGCACCTAAGGCAGACGGTAGATATAAATCCGCGCTAATCTGATCTGGTGTGGTAGGTAGGTACCTAGACGGTAGTTGACAGTAACCAATACAAGGTCCTTATCAAGTAATATGTCTGGTCCGTAGAGTTCCGGATTGCCACTATCACTAATGAATCCTCCACCATGAATGAAGACAATAACAGGCAAAGGATATTGTTCATCGGTAACCTATGGTACATCTCGAGATTGATACCAAGATAACGCGTCTACTTACGTTGGGAGCATAGACATTAAGGAATAGGCAGTTTTCCTTTCCATAGACTTGCAAATCATTCCGAAATACGTCGCTTTGTGGACAGAATGGATGGGATTTGGTGGCGTTCAAAACTCCTTCCCATGGTTGAGCTGGCAGCGGAGGCTATCAACAATTGTAATTGTTGCTTATAGTACTAAATGTGCATTACCTGAAAGCGGCGGTTTCCGATTGGAGGTTCAGCGTACGGAATACCCTGAAAGGCGAAAATTGTTCGGCCACCCCAAGTCTTCCTTACGCTTCCTTCTAAGGTGCCCTGTTTTATACTAACACTCGTAGAATAGTTCTTTGAATTGAGTGCCGGAACAAGTAACAAAATCACTAAAAAAACGCAAGCATTAATTATGAACATTTTGATGTGATTGCGTTGAATGTAGGCCGTAAGTTATTGTTGGGTTACGCTTTTTATCAATATGTCCTTAACCTTTTCTAATTTTTTACGCAGATTGATAACAACTGTTTGGACTGCGTTGTTTGCATTATGCAATTAACTTTAGATTAAACAGGGCAACACTAAACGATTTCCATTCGCAATAAATTTATTGCTAGTTTACTTATATCGAACAACAGACTCTATTCTTGAACAATATCCTATTTTGCGCATTAGCTACCGTTCCAGAACGGTGTCGGAAGCTCCAGGTAGTTTACAATCAGAGTAAACGCAGCTCCAGGAATCGAACCAGTCACTTCGAAATGAAACACAACCTAATTAGCGCTGTCTACGGGAATTAAAATGCAGGAAAACGATAAAATATTCCCCCTATAATTAAGGGAACAAAAAGGATCAAAGAGTTAACCTTGCCAATAAACGTAGCGATAAAAGCAGCGCGAAAAAGCAAAAGCTGTAAATACGGTGCGATATTGTTAATGTAAAAGCGAACATTAAACAGTACGAATGGAAAATAAATTTCCGGAAAACACTGTACCAAAATGAAAAAGTCAAAAAGATCTTACGTTTCGGTTAAAACACGAAAAGCTCTCTAAAAAAACGGATTTACCTTTTATCAAATTCGGCCATGGCATGGAGGGAACGCCGGTCTTCCCAAACAGCCCAGTGTATGAAAACCTTTAATTAATTTATCGGCTTTTGGTCATCATAAAATCTGGGACATATTCCAAAATCTTATTTCATTAAGTTCGCTTCTAATGACGTAATCGGATGTTGTTTCTGCAGCTCATTAATTAGCTACTGTTTATTATACTTACTTAAATGGACGGAAAGGATGCAATTTCTGAAATCATACTTCTATTTAACCCCCATTATCTCTTGGAATTTCTTAGGTCAGGCAAAAGGTCTCTTATCAAACTGATACCGACGTAAACCTGCATGACCTTGCAGTTTTAATGCTTCTTTTAAATTCACATAGAAAACCGACATCATCAGATATTTCACCTACTTTGACAATTTGAGGTTTTTATAGAATTGCGGGGGAGTCCGAAACTCCCTACATTTCCTTTTTTTGTGAACAGAATACAGCCCGTATATTAGGGAGATGACCCCTCGCCTTCCACCTTGGTGATTAGGTTAGCCTGGTCTCTTTCCTCAATGACGAAAACTATCAGCCTCCCTTGAGCTAGATCCTAAACGCAACGTAAAGTTTTTTCGTATCTCCCCTCCTTCGTCCGCTACTAATTTTAAAGTTGCGTATATATACTGAAAACGGTCTGGCGGCTGCACTTTACGCCCTCCTCCTACCTCCCGGGGTCGTCGAGCGGGATCGAAGAAAAATTCAAAAGTGACCACCCCTAACGGCTACGGATTCCGAAAGTACCGACCCCGAACGTCGAATAACTTCCCGTCCGAAAAGGTGTTTTTTCGCGTTTTTTCACATCTTACAGCAACGCCCCCGTGGGTGGGGGGGGAGGCGATAAAAAATTCTACCCTAGACGGTTGGACGCGCTCATCCTCGGTACCCCCCGGGTCCCAACGATTTTCTTTTTATTTTCATCTCCCACCCGTACCGGAGGACTTTTCACGAAAATCCATCTCCACCAGGGTCTCCACGTTTCGAATATGCATGTTTTCTTTATATTTATAATAGTGGGGTACCTGCTTACCTTTGCCCAGGAATTCTGTACCTCCAAGCGTCGCTTAACCCTCACCAGCTCGTCAGGTTCTCCCGGGACCCAAATGGTAGCCTTTAGGAGGCTAGAAAGGCAGTCTTCCTGCATTACCTTTGGGTGTGCAGCCTTCCACAACAGTGGGAGGTTACCAAACACCTCCTTCAACCACTCAAGGGTTGTTCTCGTACGATATTCTTAAGATCACGCCCGAGTACCTCCAACCCCTGAACCTGGGTGCAAGTGTAGCGCCTTATAGGGCGAACAGATGCTGGTCATCAAACTTGGCCAGGTGATTTTGTACTCTAACCTCCTGGTTATCCGCGAGCGTCACCAGAAGATTCTCACACCTTGCCTCTGGTCAAGGACCGTCGGTTCCCGTTGCACAAAGTCGAAAACCACGGGCTTGTCATCTGTAGTCAGATGGTCAATTCCAGAGTTCAGGAGAAGCTAAAACAAAATTACGTAACACGGAAACGGCATTAAAATCCCTAAGCGGGAACGGAAGCATCATTAACGGTACCTATTGAGGAACAAGATGCAGGAAAGCCCCTTTATAGTAATTTAACGGAATGAAACGAATCAAACGTCTACCTTGAATAAATTAGAAACTAATTTGTCTTTCCTTACCTTGAAATTAAAGGGTACGGTAAAATGCGTAAAATCAACGTTCCCGAACTTACATGATGCTGCCAGAAGTCTCCTCTAGATGACGGACTTATGTTTCTGGAATTTCTGGAAGGGACCGGTGGGTTTCCCACTCCTAGAAGAGAAGCACTCGGTTGAGGTCATCCATGTACCAGGTGTTCATTAAAGCTGAGATAAATCATATGCGAAAACTGGTGCTTCGTTACAAAATTCATAAACTAACTAAAGGGCAAGCTAACTGGAAAATAAACGGAAAAGTGGTTCAGGTTTCTGGTTTGGAATAACTAGGTGGTAATAAATAATTAAGAATCTTGAAAAGTGTCGTCGGGAATAAAAAATTCCTGGTGAAATATGTAGAAAATCATGCTTTTATAGGGAACAAGATCTTGTTTAACTTTTGGATGATACAGTGTAATGCATTAAAAATATTTATTAAAACATTATAACATTTTAAATAAAGAATAAATTAAGTAATTAAAACTATGTAGATATATAATCACAGTTTACTGTCCACGTCCTCCTTCTGTCTATATTCTGGTTCCGTAGTAACAAAAGCGAGATTTATGTTGCCGCAGAGCTGCCCCTTTTTACTCCTCTGCACCTTGTTGCCCAGCTTCGATTTTCCCGAAAAATGGTCCGTGATTGCCTCCAACGATTTTCCCTCAGTTTCAGGTAAGATAAAGTAAATGCATACTAAACCTACAAAACTTAAAGATCCATAAAACCAGTATATTCCGGGAATCGTTAACATCGCACCAAGCTGTAGAAAGACCTTGTTGGAGGCGAACGCGAAAACGTAAGATATAGCTCCGGAGATTCCGCAACCGGTAGCTCGTATATCGTGCGGGTATATTTCACCTATTAGTATCCAAGGTAGGGCTCTGAATCCACAGTGAGATACAAAGGCGAGGCACACCAGTGTACCAAGCGCCACCCACTGATGGTCATCAAACTCAAAATTGGACGCAGCGGGAGTGTTATCGCTCGATGCGAATGTGTCAATGTTCATTACGTATGCGTAGGTACCGATAATTACGTCACAAACGCCCACCCCCGTAATGGAAATGAAAGCCATAATTCGTTTACCACAGTACTTTACCAGGAATAAGCTTACGATACATCCGAGAAGCTCGGCGGCCCCCATTATTATAGTCGCGTAGTACACGTCGATTGGGGACTGTAACGTTTCGAATAGTTTTACTGCGTACGTTTGTAGCGTTGTCGAACCGGTAAAGTGTGATAGGAAGTAAAGGAATGCCACCATCGTGAATGGCCAGAGAAAGGTCTTCTTAGTGTATCCCTTCGCACTCTCCAGCTGACGCCTTATAAATGAGCGATGGATCGTCGCATCCCCTTTCTGAGATTCTTCCATCTTTTGACTACGGCAGATGTTCTGGATTTCTTCTTCGACGTCCTCCAGACTAGTCCACCCCCTCAACCACGCCAAACTTTTACGAGCTTTATCTATTTTGTTATTCATTATTAACCAGTGGGGACTTTCCGGCATAAAGCACAGTAGACAAAAGGATGTCACCGGAAAAACGCAGCTTATCAGCGCGACCGTCCTCCATTCCAAAAATGTTCCCAAAATAAATTCAATCAGGATTCCGGCTATGACAGCTACGGAACTGGACGCAGCCAACGCTCCCCTGAGGTGAGGTTGCGTGATTTCGGAGACGTAGGTTAGTATCTGTAATTACATAGTGTTATAGGTGACTAAAAGGGGGAGGGGTTACCGGAGCTTCAACCAGTCCTCCAAAGAAACCGCCCATAGCAAGAGCGAAGTAAAAGTGCCACAATTGGTTAGCAAAGTAGAATATTATCCAGCATATTATAAACGGGATGTTGATGATTTGCATGGATCGTCTTCGTCCTATTGGATCAGTTACTATTCCTGATATCAGACAGCCTATGGGGACGCACATCATGCTAATTGAACCTGAAGTGAGAGTTTTTTCAGTGTTTAAATGAGAGACAAATTACCTATCCACGATATCTGACTGTTATCCAAATGAAATTCGTTTGAGGCGACGTTTTCGGATAACGCAGGAATTAAGATGGTAACGTATCCAACTGTGAGACCAAATGATATGAGTACGACGTTTTTTACCATTACTGCTAGTATTTGAGGCATCGCTTTACGAAGCGACGAAAGCCTATTGGAACTTCCATTTACCCCGGTTGTAATTTGGTTGACAATATCATTGCTGCAAACAAAAAAATACGTTAGGTAGTTGCATGATAGGAATGAGTATGCTGTCTTTCGGCTATTACGGTTAGGCGAGTACGATCTAGAATAATTTGCACAAATTAAAACAGAAACACCAAAAAAACCAACTTTATTTAAAAGAATGCGTATGGAGCAGGGTATGGAGAGAGCTAGCAGTTAGCACTGTAGTTTTGCATTTCTGATGTTTTTAGGATTCAGAAGCAGTGAACGAGAATTCCGAGGTTTTTTCAAATTTCCTTAACTTAAATTGAAAAAAACCAAAATACCTATTTGTAGGGAATCGGTATGGAATAATGCAGGGAAGCCTGAAAAAGTAAAACATCAAAAACTCCCTGATTGGTTTTAATGCTGAACAATGTATTATCAAGCTGTTTCCGTTCTCATACTATTGAAAGCAAATTTTAAACAAGAAGCCACCCAAAACGACCAAAATATCGCGTATAATTCCAAAATTAGGGCGGACATTTACAATCTTCTTCATATTTACAAAATATAATGCTAATAATAGTAGTAATTGAATAGGAAACCCCCCTTAGAATTCCTAATAAATTTATTATACATATAATCAAACGTTCATTTCCATGGCACAATAATGAGCTGAATAAAACACGAAAAAAGAACCGAATGAACCACTCAATGGTTCTCCCCAACAACTTTCTGAATATTTATGGCGGATTTATCACACTAATTTATTCGATTGGTTTATTGCGTATTCAACACCACGATTTTGTACTAACCGCAGTTGCTGCCAGTCTAATATCTCCGAACATTTAAAATTTGTCTGTTAATCATTGAATTTTCTTTTCAAATGAAAATCATTTAAAACTAACGTTTTTACCCCCACGTACTTGTTTTTTGGTGACTATGAGAACTTATCCAACTTATCATCGGCTTTACGTTCATATTAAAAAGAGAAAACTACTAGTAGAACATTTATAGACGTCCGTTGTAATTAATAGACGAGGTATGTAAATGAAGTAATGGCACTAACCCTTTAGTGGAGCTATGGCAACCCTGGGCATGTCAAACTTTGAGGAGTGGTAGGAGGGCATGTCTTAATCATCGACATATAATAAATAGACTGCGCATGTCAGTGATAAGCGCGGATACTGCAGGTGAGAGAAAAGGACAAACTAAGAGGGCAAGTTGTCTCTTACGGTTACTCATCTCATTGGTTCTTTCAATTTAATTTGAATGCGATAGCGATCCTGCAGCGTGTCCTGCTATCACCATGTGTGTGTAAAGATTTACAATATACGATTATGATCAATTTTGCCTTTTATAACACACACTCAACATTTGCACAGGATTAATGTCGCACAGGATTTATGTCCTATCTTTGGATATTTATCGAAATCGAGTTTTTGCTATATGATTATTCTTGCGCATAATGCTTAATTGGTTTTTATAATTTACCAAAATTACCCTCGTGACTTTTGACCTCGTCTTTTTGTCCTGCTTAAATCTCAAATTTAAACATACTGTAATGTAAGTCGTTTATTTATTTGGAATTAATTAACATTAAATTTACAACAGTCTTAAAATGGATTAATTTATAACAGTTAAAATATTAATCACTCACATAGACACAATTTATAACACCGCAAACTATATATTACTTCAGCGTTGAAATTAAAACTAAACTGAAACGCAATTCGTTTTCTTATACAGCATTCCTCGAAAAATCCCGAGCGCGTCCGAAGGCATCCGACTATTCGAGAACGTTCTCGAACGAACGCACACATTTCTCAGAAAGATTGTCACATCTGCCTTCGTTATTTATCCCCTATGGCGCTATCCCAAATATGTATCGAAATAATTAATGTGTCCTGTGTAAAATTGTATGAGCGGATTATTGTTTTCTTAAGACATTACAATTATGCAAACGAAACTGAGTTTGAATACGGTCGAGATAAATAAAACGGTCCAGACAGTTCCATACCACGAGAGGCGAGTTTGTACCACAGTGGGTCTGTCAAAGTTTTATTTATTTTTATTATATTTTTGAGTGGGCGGGGTCTACCAACCCAACCCACTGTACATTTACAAATATCCATGCCCGAAGCCGGATTCGAACCAGGGACCCTTAGCACCACAGTTCAGCTTTAACTGAACTGCACCACACGGGAACCACTCAAAAACCGACCCAGTTTTCAATTTTTCTTGAAGGAAGATTTTCAAGTAATCTAAAAAACGATTCCAGCGATATCTGTAAGGTACTTTAATTTTTGTTTCATTTTGTAAAATATTGGTTGGTTATTTTTAAGAACTTGCAGCGAATATTTATTTAATATTGTGGAAATTAATCTAAATTTAATCATTATAAGTGGATCCATGCAAAGGAATTTGGATATATTTTCTTTAACTGGTAATTTCAATTTGATTTAAGTGATAATATCGTTTTGCATGAATTAAAATTCAAATTTGTTCCTATAAGGTGTGTAAACAATTCCCTCGAGACAGGGGTTGTATTTTCTGTATTTACCTAGATATAGGATACACATCAATATTTTAAATCAGACAATATGTAAAGGAGAAATGAAGTGGATTGACTTTAGTTTGCTAATATTTGCAATTATTTATTTTGGAATTCATATCGGGGGTCCCAATTAATTAAGATGGTTGACATTCCATTCAAAAGGAATAGAAACTTTAGGCTTGGAATTGTCATTCACAAATTTCTTTTGTAAAGCGAATCCACAACTTCTTTATTACTCAGATCGAAAAAATTATATCTATGTAGCGTAAGCTGTGAATAAAATTAGGTACTGGCGCTTTGTCACTAACTCTTCGATACTGGTGTTCCTTTGTGAGATCTAACCAAAACGCTGACCCAAGAACTATTTAACAGTCAGCGTGTCGGATTAACAAAATTACATAATATGTAATGGTAATATCCACCGGCGATGATATAATAATCCTCAAATTAAGGTAAATATTGACAGCAAATTGGACAATACATATTAATTTTGCTAACATAAACGTAACACAATAATTGCATTAATAGTAAACGCATTACAACTCAATTATCTGCTTTTTGCATTAGAAAAAGATGATTGATGTACCTACGTAGGGAGTACGTTACCGAAATCGTCACAGAAATCGTATACGCAGTCACCAGTGGTGTAAAAAAACATTATGGGCAATTTATTGTGTTAGGTAATGGAACAATGTGCAATAACTCATCCGTGGTCAAATTTTGTATTTCTTTTTAATTTTCTGTTAGGTTTAATACATTTAAGGTGATACCTACTAATGTTTTTCCTAATTTGTGTTTAAGTGGGAGCCAATCTAAAAGAACTTTGGAACATTGCCACTAGTAGATACAAAGATAGACATTTATTTCAGAAATACGTGGAAAAAGACAAAAACTATATGTTTTCATGGTATAATTTAAATCAAATCACTGGATGTAAATTTACTTTGCAGATACCACACCCAAATGTGGAGTTTTTCTTGTATATTTAATGACTTAAACAATTGATGCAATGTAAATTTCCCTATGGCCCATTTTAAATAACTCAACGCCTTTATATTGTCGTATCGTATGACCCATCTTAAAAAAACACCCTGTATAAGAAATGACCAAAAATTTATTTAGGAGGTTTAGAATTTTTGTAGTTAATAGTAATAATAATATTTATTGTCACCAACAGATTAACCAATAAGGGACGGTGTTAAGTTACAATGTACATTCACTAGAGGACAGAAAGAAATAAAACATGCTTTAATCAAAATACGACGGTAAATAACAATTCATGTATTTTGCACAGTTTAGTTGCGATGCGGGAATGCGAGAACTGGAGCGAGAGCGGGACGGATGCGGGATATATTTCTACAGCGGTCTATGCGTTCATTCCTCATCCCGAGGGATACCGGAGGCGCGGGCTGCTCAGGGTTTCCTGATCCTCTTCAGCCAGAGAACGGGAATGTAATGATAGTAAAGTTAAGGATGGGAACGGAGTTACGGTGTTGAGAGGGAAAAGTATTGCTCCGGCATTTGCCTCGTAGATTTGCTAGTATTATGCGAAGCCACGTACGTCTGAGGAAAACCCTCTGACAAAACCACAGATAGCAGTCGGCAGCGGGAATCGAACCCACACCTCTCGAATAGCAGTCGGCAAAGCAACCACTGCGCCACCGGCTTCGGTTGCTGATTATATTCCCGTCGACCCACAAGCGTCTGGCATTGCAGCCAATGGGGTTGTCGCAGCCCCTTTCTTACTCTCGGTAACAATACCCATGGGATTCTATAGTCGGTCCGTGAAGAGTCAATTTCATTTCTATATCGAGAAAAGGGTTTACGAAGATTCTATAGTCGATCCTGTTTGAACGCCATAACACGAACACCTGATGCACAGACAATAAATATATTTATGAACACTGGAATTTTATACCCAAGCGCTATTTAACTATTTAAACCTTTTAGTGGACACCAAGTACCTGCGCCTATTACAATTTTTGGATAAACCGAAAGAGGGGTTATACTCATTTGAATATTAGTTGTTCGAGCTAGGTGGTTGTCCCTCGCACTCAAGTAAATCCACTAAATGTTAATGAGACTTCTTGGGTTGAATTTGGCACTTAGCATTAGGTCATCTTAGCCTCAGAAAAATTAACAGATTGAATGTCCCAGGTAACAGGTCATTTTATGGCATAAAAATCTTCGGTCCAAAGTTCGACTTTAGTTGGGCACTAGGATTATATAGCTTTAAACAACAAAGGCATTTCGAGAAAAGTCAAGTTCAGTGCTAATTTTACGTCAAGTTAACGGCCAATTTTTAATATACCCAAGGTAATTACTATTACGTGATGAAACAGAGAGAGAATTTCAAGTTCTGTAAGTGTCGAGTTGCATACATAAATTAATAGAAACTTTACTTGGAACTCGGAACAAATGTGTGTAGTGAGAGAATTCCTCATTGTGCGTTAAAGAAAAACTGCGTCGGTTTTTGTAACATATTAGCAAACTATCGTGAGACATTTAATTAAATCGTGGACGAGTTGTAATTAAAACTGTCGATTATTTCAAAAATATACTCAGTTCAATGGGTCCCATTACTGGGGATTTAATTATAACCGCAATTTGGAGCAATTGCTTACTGAGGATTTTCCAGAATAATAAACAGTAACAAACTTCAGTACAAAACCTAGCTACGTCCTCTAATCAAAGTCAATTCAATTTCCACTTATAAGTGAAATTATCCACCGAAATTGGGCCATTGTAATCAAGAAAACAATTGCATTTGAAGTAATATCTATGGCGAGCTTCCAAATGCATTTCCTTGAAAAGAAAATCATCTGCTTGCAACTACTCAGCTGTAACTATGTAGATACTAAGGGCCTCAACCCATCCCATGAACGAGAAGAGTAGTTCAAGTTGCAAAAAGAGCGAATATTTGCAGAAAATTGAATGTAAAGCTTTGATTAATTGGTCTTAAACCAATTTTGAGTTTTAATATAAATAGTAATATGTGTAAAATGAAAAGCCTATTGAGTTTGGTGTAAATTCAATATTCGTTTTTATTCAAGAATTTAAATTTCACTTCACAATTTCAATACAAGAATTTGCCAAATTCAAAGGTTTGTTCTCTTGCTTCTAAAAAATTGTTTAGATGAGTAATTTTCAACGAAGCAAAGGTAAAACTCTCCAATGTTAAATTAAAAAGGTGTTGTCTTTATTATCTAACAAAACCACGTTAAATTTCTCTAGTAAAGTGGAAAATACAGTCACCATCATTTTCCATGTAAAATCTGGTAAAATCTTCAAAAATGCAAAAAAGGCACTGTTCCTAAGAATATTAGAGGTACATCTCAGCACAATATCAGCACAATTTTATTTTGCTTTAAAACAGACCGATTTTTCCACTTGGGGTGGAGATTGCGTTCTAACATAAAGGCACACTTGAATATGCCATTCGCCTATCTTAAAAAGAGTACTGTCAAGGTTCTTTTCAAACCGGCTTCAAAAAAGTATAGTTTTTCTGGAGGAACTAATAATTCAGTTTCCGTAGAGGTTGTTTGTTTAGACCTCCTCTAGAAAGAAGAGTTATCGTACGATACGGTACGGTTTCAAAGGACCTAAGGCACTATGACGTATATTGCAGCGATTACCATCACTCAAAGCTGCTGTAATTGCTTCATACGACTATTAATTCCTATTCAATCTCAATCAATTTGCAGGCGTACAATGCGGAACAATATAAAAATTCCAGCAATTCCGGTAATTAATGCTGTTTGCATTCCTCACAATCATTGCGCGTGGCACAATAATGTGCGAAAAGGATTTTGCTATGTAATTATTTAATATTATTTTACGCGGTAACAAATATTGTTTAGGTAATAAAATTTCCTTCGACTAGCACCTGTAATTAGTTTTTCTACTTAGCACTGACCCAATAATCACTACGTGAAAAGCTATTATGGGAAAGTTGCCATTGACGTTACTCATTCAAACGTGTAATAAACGCTAAGATTCTAAACAATATTTAAACAGTTCAAGTGCAAAAGAAATTCTAAAATAAAAACTACGCGGTTTGCCTACTAATTAGTTTTTATATAAGACTCGGCATATACAAGGATTAATTAATCATATCATAATGTGTGACATTGATAAAAATAATCAAATGAAAATGGGTACATTTAAATGCAGTTGGTGCCGGGTTTTAATTGCACATTATAGTTTGCGGTGACGTTTTTTTTCCGACCGAGTATTTGGCTTCGTTGACCAGAAAACCTTCTAAAAATTTAATCCGTAGGTCGACTAAGTATAAAAACGGAAACATGGAGTGCCGTTAATCAGGAAGTAATGCTAAATAATAGTAATAGCCTCACATTAAACCTTGACAGGACAAGTACAAGGCGAGGACGAACTATCTGTGTTTGAGCACGACCAGAATTAATTATTGATTATGATCATCTGATGTATTATCAACGCATCCTTTAATTACGGTTTCCTCATTTCGTTTTAACAACGTTTAATTCGACTTTTACAACAGCCGAAATATTGTTTCTTATGTGCATACATGCATTTCCGAAGGAGATGGAGTGGAGCCCTCTGTTTAAAAGTATCATCAGCTGCTATTTTCTTTAACTATACTGACTGTATTTTGTCTCCCAGGTATCTTTACACCGGTTACCGGTTATTTTCGTTTTCCTTTAGTGACCAATTGATTTTAGAGGTGCAACTACACTAGATGTGCCGGTTTGAGCTTTGATGCAGGTCTAGAAATCTACAAAACTTGAGATTCGGTTGCCTGCAGCATTGTAAACCAGAACCAATGAAAGAACTGTACTTTAATCCAATATACTTTCATTGACAATTAAACGGTCTTCATGCCACGATTTGCTGACTCTTTGAAAAATCATACAAAATAAGCAAACACCAAAATTTTGCATGTCACGCAAGGTTAAAATAGTTGGAGCAGAAAATTAGTAACAAAGAAGTCTACAATTAATTTGTTAATTATTTTGGCATAAAACCTATTTTTTCATTAAGGTCACATTTTCAAAAATTATTTTGTTACAGTCGCAAAGGTAAATGATTGAGTTGTTAAATAATTGTTAAACGTAACAAAGCGATTTTATTCGAAATATCTGATTTAATCCATTAAGCCAATGTTTATAAATTCTCTGAAAGTTGTGAGTAATTAAAGCGGTTGTTGTTTTCAAAGCTCCTTTTTACAGTCGTACGAATCTAAAATGAATCAATTGTACCGATAATAATTCGATTCAAAGGTGACTAGCAAATTGCTAATTAGCATATCAGGCATAATATTCACCGCTAGTCATCCAAATTTGTGCTCTGCTGTGGGTCACACTACAAAGGACAAGGACATTTGTTAGACCGCCAATTTCAAAGAAACTTACTGTACAATTACGGCCGTTGATTAACTAATTAAAAATCTACCTATAAGTTACATTGAAAATACAATAAAGAAACTTTTATGGCCGAAGTGCAAGCTAATAAATTGCAAGTGACTTCTGGCACAGGGTGAGAAAAAAATCCAATAACTCACCCGGTTATTGTCATCTTGAGCAGCCTGTCTTTATAATTCAAACATTCTATATTAAAATCTGCGTAATTGTTAATAACATAAAAAAAATGTTAAATTTGACTTGCACACACCAAATGCAATTACTGTATCAGCAACTGAAAACAATCCTATACGTTTTGCACCGTTTCAATGGTCTCCCACTCTTTAAATTCGTACTTGTCAAACATATAATTGAATTAGTAATTTATTTTTGCGACGACGTTCAGAATTGTCAATAGCTTTTTTGAGGACGTTTTTTTTAGAAAACGGTAAAATCCATAAATTGCTAGCTCGATAATGTTTGCACTAAAAACTACTTTAAAGCATGTACTTGCAATACAAGTGCTCAGCGTTTCCTTTTCCTTCTTAGTAATCGTAGCCATTGCCCAACGTATAAGCTTATTAAAAGTGCTCATTTGGTATTTAAGATCAAGAAGGCTTGTAACCCTTTCCACGTACCTATAAAGAATTTTCCTCTAAAAAAAATTAAGTTGTAATGCTAAAAACCAAGGAGGGCCATTCAGAAAACGTGAGTAATGTACCGTAAATTTAATCACGTGGTTTTTTTGATGAATTTACCCACTTTATAACGCGAGCGCGGATTTTACTATTTATCACTTCGGCATCAATATTAGGACTGACCTGCGGTGTGTTACAACAACTGAAATCAAAATAGTAAACGTTTAACTAAAATATTTTCCAAATTAAATTCCAAAATTATAACTGCAGACGGTAGCCATAGAAACTTTGTAGGTGCTCTAAAAGACCGCATAGATGTTAAGTATTAATCGCGAATATTCAACATAACTTGTAAAGATTGTAGTCAAGTGTAAGTTGAGCAAATCATTGAGATTTCGTTTTAAAGACCAGTTACTCTCTTAAAATAGTCCAGGAAGTTAATAGTAGTAAGGGTCAATTAGATTGTTATGTTTAGAGATTTGTAAAAACTTCCTAATGAATATTGATGAAAGAGGCCTGTAACAGGGGGTCGCTTTAGAATTAAAAAGGTGTTTTTTATAATTTGTATTTTGTTCAACATGTACTGCTTCATAGCGAACATGAACGAAAGTATGTCTGTTGTCACGGTCTCTTCGGACCTAAAACTTTCGTTCCACTCTGTCAAAATCCGAGCACGTTAGGAAAATGCTTTTCTTTTAAAGAAGTACGCAAGTTATTGCTTCCTTTGGAAAATAGGTTCCGTTTCAGAGATTCTAACGGGTCAGATTTTAAATAGGACAGAAGTGGGAAAGCGGTAATTGTCGGGTGGGTTTCGCAAGCGATCACGCGCACTGTTCAGGATTATATTTCAAATAATTGACAATCAACAAAGTTTTTTTTCGTATCGCCAACAGTAACGGCAGGTTAAAAGCAACTTTCTCAGAGTTGAGCAAATTGAAAGACAATTAATCATTGTATTTACCTTCAATAAAGTCTTGTTAATAAATTGAATTGAATTAGTATCAACACCGTGGAAAAATGGGTAATTTTATTTCTATGCATAAGTAATCACGATCAGAGATCAGAAGAAAATAGTACCAGGGTTAATAACTGTTATTTTTGATTTGTATAAAGTCGTGGTCGATTATTCTTAGGAATTTTTATATTAATTTTGGTTTGAGATAAGTTCCTAAAGGAACCGACCCATAAGAATTATTTGCATGAACAGATTTTGGATATTTGGCTTCATTGATTGGGATTTTGCGTTTAATTTTACTAAATGGCTATCGCATTTGTTTAATTTCTTTTTTTGAATCGCACTCAGAATTTACATCCAACAACTTGTAAAGAAAAATGGTTCTTGATCGCTTTTGTTTTTAAATGCCGTACTGTCCTAGTTGTGACAGGCGTTGACACCTGTAACTGAACTACATATGACACCACAGACAATAAACTTGGATGCCCCGAGTTGGCTGTGACTATAAGTGTCAAGTTTCAATCGATCTTCTTAGTATCTATCGATTATTTGCGTAAATCATCCTACAAATAGACCAATATAATTTTATCGTTCTTGAAATTAAATTTGATTGGGGGAACTGTATGGACTGAGGGAACAGTATGGAATTTTGCATTCGGGATGATTGAAAATGGAGGGGAAGGGGGGGTACAAGCGTACCTGAACCAAGTGCACGTGATTTCTAGAACAAAACTCGTCAAATTTGAAAACAGAGGGGACGGTATGACATTTTATATTCCGAAAAAGAACTGGAAATGGCGGAAGCGCAAACGAATGTATTCGGGGCGCAAACCTGCGAGAATCAAGTGCAGACAATCGCTAGAAAAAAACGTCAAATTTGTAAACTGGGGGAACAGTATGGAATTTTGTATTCTGAACTGGAACATTCGGGGGGTAAACCAAGCGTACTCGGTCGCTTTGTGAAAAAGCAATTTTTTGGAAAATTGAGGAGTAGTTATGAATTTGCTACTTGACTCGGAAAGCCCCAAAAGGGCCTCGTTTCTTAAATATTTCCTCGTCATTTTCCTGACTTTTATGTAAGTAGGTACCTATTTTGGAGTCAGTGAATATGTGTAATTGTTCAAAAAACGGTTGGGGAGGATAGGTTTCGAGGCGAAGGGATGCGGGGTAAAACGCCGAAACCAGAACTGCGGAAACGAATTGTCTTAGCCCCATATTTTTGATGTCCACAAATCAGTCACACTATTTCCTTCACTTTGTCACTTTTACTCCAAAGTGGTGCACCACAAACCGCACTGTAAATTTTGTTTATTTTGCACCAAACGAACTGGAAAATACCCCCAACGCCCTGATACTTTTTTGCTGAATCGTGGAACCATTGGCGGATCAGTCTATCGCTACTGGTAGAATAAGAGTAACTTGAAATAAACGCGGGAGGAAGCATCATAATGTTAGGGAAATTTGGGAGGAATTGGATGGAGATTTCAAAAGTTGAAGGAGAACTTTTCTAAGAAGTTGAGAGCCATTTTCGCCATGAAATAGTAAAAAAATGCTAAAAGCACAATGTAATTCGGTTTTGCTGTTTTGTAGGTATATACGCATAATCTAAGTACAAGTGCGTATCACGACCTTCACATGGCCCCTACCAAAAATATGAATTTTGCTGCACAACATGTTTTTCAACTATTCAAAGAAGAAAGCTCACTCCAACTACTTACCACAGTAGCGGCCATAGAAAGAAAACCCGACGACGCCACATTTTGATCCACTTTACGTTCTTTAAATCCAAAGGCGTGCACTACATACACGAGATCTAGGCACCGACTCAACATTTTCCCTTAGCTGGGAAAGCTATCAGCATATAAAAAGGTAAAACAATGGGACATTTATTCAGACTATTTCGAAATCCAAACTCCATTCAAAACCATGTCGATGATCGGGGCGACCATCAATTACGTTTTCAAAAACCAACTCACACCAATAATTGATATTATTTCCTCGGGTTTTTGTGTAGTTGTGAACTGGCAGTATTACATGAGAAAAAAGAGGTTAACCAGGAACAAAAGTAACAATTGTAGTTACAAGGACTTTTTACTTCCCAGCGAAAATTCCACTTTGATGTTAATTACATAACCTTTGGTGTCTGAAGTTCAGAGATGCTTAATCATTGTAAGATAAAATCTCATTAAAACTGTAAGAAAGTGACTCCCTTTTTTTGTAACTGGTTCTAGAATACCTCCATTACTGCTTATAGGGTGCGGCTGCATCCTTAGATAATGCCTTCTGAAGATTTGGTTTTAATATGCTTACCAAAAGATCTACTTACCAAGGCTAGTACAAGCGTCTTCATTTAGACGTTATATGCAATGGATAATTTTTCTTCACTTATTCAGGCCAAAATGCTCCGAGAAAATACGTCAGTCTAATATGTTTCCTGTCTAGCCTCTATGCGAATCTCGGTTACCTAATCAAATTAAAGTTTGACCAATCCCTTAATCATTGCACGCGTTAGGATGATTCATTAGGTAAAGGAGTAACAATGACCAAGTTGACACACTTTATGCAGTTTGATTTACGTAACAGAATAGTTACGCTAAAATGATTTTGATGATTAAAGTTGCTTGGAAATGACGGTGGGTATTCGTCATAATTATTATACGTATTCACATACAATTATTTTCAAGTGACACGCTCAGCAGAAACTACTCCCAAAATTCGTTAATGTTAATGCATTTTCAAGGTATTGAATATTTAGTGTTGAGGAAAGGGAAGGTGTTCGATTGTGTTGGAGGGGTCGTATTTGATGCTGGAAGGCATCAATACGAATAAATTGCCCCAACATACAAGTTTAAGGTTTTGCTCTCCTTATGGAGAATCGAATATAAAAATCAAGTGCGAATTCTCTGTTGAAAGAAAAGGCAAATTTGAATCTAAAGCTGTTTTATTTAATTATTTGTGCCAACAATTAAATCAAAATGAAATCACAAAATGTTAACGAATCCCAAATTAATTCATGACCGATCAAATAATTGTTCAGACTAAAATTTTTTAACTGACAAGGAAGAGTAGGTCAGAATTTTACACTTTATGATCTAAAAAACCTTACGCAAATCTTATGTGAACTTCGCCGGAAAAACGTCACGCTTGGATTAATCTTAAAGTAATTGTACAGGGTGTCCCATTAATAAAGGTCAAAGGCCATATGTATGTAACTGTTAATTTAAAGGGCTATAATTCGAGTTCGAGTTCGAGTTTAGTCATGTTTTCAAGGTAGTTTCGAGCGTTTATCGCATTTGGAAGCCTTTCTATAAGGGTTTCAAGTGCCTGTTAAAGTTATCCACCTCCATAAAAGCCACTATTACGAAAATTTTTTAACCATTAACATACGGTTTCCACATCGACCAACTTAACTCAACTCAACTCATCGCAATCAACATCTGTTACAATTATTATTTATATTAAAATTTAAATTTTTATGAAAAATACAATTTAAATCCAGGAAAGTTTGAAGACTTACTAACTGTCGTTGCTTTATTTTAATACATTTCATTTTAGTGTTACCTGAATACAATGATACAATAATAATAATGTCCTATTTAAAACTATAAATACATACAGTGGAATAAAAATGGACTGATTACATAATTGAATGAATATGCAAATTCTTTGGCAATTCTTAGCCTTGAGCAAATATATTATCAAAAATAATAATCGATGATGTACGAGTATAAAGAACCATATTTAATTTATACTGAAGTGAAGGTTTGTAGGGTGAGTAGGCTCAAAAAACCAGACTTCGTTTAGTTTTTTTAATTGGTAATCCAAATATTTCGGACGCATATTGGATTACCAATTAAAAAAACTAAACGAAGTCTGGTTTTTTGAGCCTACTCGCCCTACAAACCTTCACTTCAACACCACGCAAGGCCAAAAGCAAAGAACCTTCTTTATTTAATTTATACTTACAAAATTGGATCAAAAAGTTATCAAAATTTCCAACAAGCGCATCAGTGAATACGAAAATACAGGTGTCCATTTGTCCAATAAGTAAAACGTTTGGAAGGATACTATTTTTATACCGGGTGAATATTCTAAAATCGAACATAGGAAATTAACATGGGAAAAAGATTTTTTGCAGATTGTTGGTCTCCATGTTAACTTAGACGGTTTATAATCACCAATCGAAAGAAGATTTTTTTTCTCTTCTAATGATATACCAATTAGTTAATTGACAGTTGTATTTCTCATTTTATCAAAAATTCTGCAGTATATCCAATTAGCCAAATTTTTGCACCGAGTCTCCAAGATCCTAGTTTAGACCTGCAAATTTGGTCATTGCGCCGAGTGATCTTGAGATCTTCACAGTCCGAATATTTCTCTTCTCCCTCGAAAGGTCCATTTACAGCTATCCTCATATGACGCTGTTATGACCCCCGCCAATAGCTATTGAAAAGCAGCCAAACATCAGAATGATAGCCTCCTGTCTCCGCCTGTGACGATGTTGCGCTGTTACCAAATCAGTTTTTTGCTAGCACTTCAGCAGGTCGCCTCTATAGTCCGTGTCCCTGCTGGCCCCCGCAACATGATGTGCGTTTGCGTCACACCCAACCACAATACGGAGCTCACCATTACTTCTTCATTACTCTATCAGATATGTTGAGCAGACCACCAAGTGCCTGATCCGTCCTCTGCCATCTTTTAGTTGAAGTCTTAGAGCTACGAGATCCCTGAAATAGAAATCAAAGATAAGACTCGATTCGCTATCGACATAAATGCCTAAGGTCCAATTGGCGGCCCCTCTTATAATAAAGAGACTCCTGCACCTAGACCTCATACGCGCCCCTTGTGATAAACCCAAGGTTCTAGTATAAGGCAACTCGTAGTAAAAAATATAAATAAATGTTGAAATAGGCTTTTACAACAACTTACTGACGAAGCTATGTACGAACGTAGTTTCGACTAAATTAAAATATTGGTTTTAGACCCTGCCCGCAGCCGTCCGAATTCAGAAGGGTACTTTCTGCCAATAATCTGCGATCACATAGAACACAGAAATAAGGAGAGAGAGAAAGTATGAATGAATAGCTAGACTAATAAAATGCGAGAATAAAATTAATGTTTGAAACGTCGAGCAACTCGAATACTAGGAATCGTAACTAATTAACGACAAACAATAGTACTCGCACGTTAGGAAACAAAAGCAAAATTTTGATCGACACGAGTTGTCACGTCGGTATAAAAGGCAATTCACAACAATAATCGTTAACGTTATCAGCCAAAATAACTAAATTTCTATACAACAAAAGTAAACTAAGTACCAGTAATTTTGCAAAGGTGTGGCAATCAAGTTCTGCGTATTTATCAAGGACGTCCATGTCGTTCGTAATATCATGATGCTCAATGTAGAAAATAAAGTAGAACAAGCAGAAAACAAAAGAAAGAAGAAAATACCTTATTGTGCAAATCTCATTACTTAGCCTAAAATGGGGCCTCAAACCTTTGCAAATACATAAGCGTATTCTATGAAGTGAAGAATATACTAAAGAAATAAACTCAACAAGTATTCCACGACGAACCAAGTCACGAACAACAATCAACGAAGCAACAATGAAACTTGTACAGGTACAGTTACAATAAGAGAAAGGAACAAATTTAAAATAGGAATTTGCATGACCTCTAGCGGTAGAATAAGAAACTATCTAACGACATAGATGAAATGATCTAACTAACGAGTTTACAGAGAAAAATATACAGATGGCGTAACGATTATTAAATAAATATCTTAAATTTCGTAAATGTTAAATGAAAAGAACGAAACCTTACAAATGAGCTACCTTTTGACAGTGCATTCCCGTCGGAAGGTCTTCGTGCCAAAATTCGACGAAAATAAAGCAGATGCAGTCCTTCGCGCATTACATTCTCCTGATATTAAAGTTTAAACCAAAATAAAGGGTTGGAACGTTAAAGGGATAAGTACTATATTCCACAATAATCGAGTATAGACAAACGAAAATTAACTATTGGAACACTCTCTACAGATTTTCTAACAAATAGTTTGTGAAGGTTCCATTTGAGGTATGGTTTAACTCAACTGCTTCTGAAGGTAATTATTATCGTGTGCCATATAAAAAATTAAAGACACAGATAAAGATAATGTCAATTCGAAAGTCGCCTTACTAACCGATAACTGCCTATTACAGAGAGTTTGTGTTGTATAATAAGCCTGATAACTAATGAAGCAATATCAACACTGCAAGAGTGTTTGCATACCTTGGACAGGTGACAAGTTCCAAGATTGGTTGCAATACTGATCGAAACGATCCCTACTACTAATAGTTCCGCTCTCGCATTTTTTTATCGTAAAAGATGTTGATATTGTTTTCAGAAAAATGGTTTCAGTGCGTTAAGTACGACGGACGCTCGGGTTTTCCGAACGTAAGCGACTGAACGCAGTTAATAAAATCAGACTATCCAAGAAAGTCGCAGAGAATTACAAACGTCATTCTCTAAAACACGTTCCTCACAAGTTGACAAAATGATTCAGCTGGTGGCACTGGCTGCATTTTCTACCCTCTTCTGGGTTTACCATTCGGCCCATGGCGGTTTAATTGTTTCTACAGAGTTTGGCTACGTTCAAGGCGGTATTCGAAGGACGTGGAATAACAGAACGTTCAGCAGTTTCACTGGGATCCCATATGCGAAACCACCAATCGGCGATTTGCGTTTTAAGGTAACCCACATCTATTGGATTTTGTTAAAGGTAGCATCCCGCAGCCACCCGTTTCGGTGGACCCTTGGCGCGATGTATACCAAGCGACCGGTTCTCACAACGTATGTCCACAAGCGGAATTATTGGCAAAGGGTATCGTTCCTATTGGAGACGAAGATTGCCTTTTTCTCAACGTATACACCCCAAAGGTCTTTTAATGCAAGACACAAAACCAAGTTTTAATATTAATGTTTAGACACGCGAGAGCCCATTTAACACCGAAGTCTATCCGGTCCTTGTTTTTCTGCATGGAGGTTCGTTTTCAATAGGAAGCGCTCGAGAAGATTGGATCGGTCCAGAAATCTTATTGGACAAAGATGTGGTGCTTGTGACAGTGAACTACAGATTAGGTACGTCCTTTGGGTTAAACGCAAAAATTTAGATAATTATGGAATGTTCTACCACACTATCTTTTTGTGCGTGACATAACTAAAGTTATGCCTCTAGTAAATTGGATACCAAGACACGATTTCTTTTTCCAAATTCATGAGCAGGAGATAGCATCACGCTTTATTTTCATGGCCATGATTTAAGTTTTCGTGGACAGTAAAATAAAGCGTGACCCGCTCTAAGCTTAATGGGCGTAAACTGGATAGTGATGATTACATAATTACCTGTACAAAATGCCACAAACTGTACTTGAGGTTTGTGGATTAGTTCGCCAATTTCAGAAGACAAGCAAAAGGATAATTTCCTAATATTCACCGCCTGTTATAGCAGCAAATTGACCAACTTTGTTTATTTACAGGCGCTCTTGGATTTTTGAGCTTTCAGGATCCGGTAATTTCGGGGAACAACGGTCTAAAAGATCAAGCTCTCGCTATCAGATGGGTTTTTAGAAATATTCACAACTTCGGAGGAGATCCCAATAAATTAACGTTATTTGGAAACTCAGCCGGAGGTGTTGCCACTCATTTGCACACCATGTCGCCTTTATCGAAGCGTATGTACCCATCACCACCTACTACGGATCCTTACTTATCAAATTCTAGATTTTCTTAATTCGGCAATAATTCAAAGTGGGAACGGACTGTTCTTGCCAATACTGAGCTCAACATACCACCCAATTTTCTACGCAAATATCTTGGCCGATTGTGTGAATTGTCCGCATAGTTCGAGTAAGAACTTTCTAAAGTGTATAAGGACTGTTCACGCTTACACAATAATAAATTGTAATTCGGTGAGATTGGTAACTATGAGAAGGCAGGATTTTGAGTGGCACATTTGTAGAAATTTGAAAACCTTACAGCGATACCCTTCCGACCGATAGTTGAAATAACTAGGCATGGGGCTTTCCTAACTGATTCACCCGATTATCTAATACGCAGTCGAGCTGTTAGAAGCATTCCTATTATGACAGGTGTGGTGACGGACGAAGCTGGATATCAAGCTGCAGGTAATCACCCGCCATTCCATATTTAAAAATGAAGGAATTGATTGCAGATATAATGTATCACTCTTCCAAACTAAATTTGCTAAACCAACATTTTAACCATTTTGTTGTCCATTTGTTTAACATACGACATCCCTTTGACACCTGGTTGCGCTCTTTTTATTTCAACAACAAGACCATCGACCAAACCAACCGTTTCCAGCTTTCAAAAGTGAGCAGGTTTTAACCCATGGCTCTCTTAAGAATTACTTTTAGATGTTGAGCGATGGGTTTTTCTATAGAGTCAACGAAGAGATGATACGCCTATACCAACCCCGACTCGATAATCCCACATTTCAGTACCTGTTCGGCTATCGCGGATCTGAAAGTTATGGGAATCTCTTTGTACCTAATTACGACTTCGGTAGCTTAATTTGAATTCGGGCGCGGCTTTATTTGTATTTTAGGTGTAACACATACGGACGAGCTCTTTTATCTGCTGCCACGCAAGAACTTATTCCCAAACTACGTCCCATCCGAAAGTGACAGGAAAGTTAGCGAACTTTTGTCGACGTTCTGGGTTAATTTCGCAAAAACTGAGTAAGCCGGCATCTCCACCCCCAAATTGGTGGGATTCATTATTTTTTAGCCATCCAACGCCGTACGGAGATCGAACCCTTTCGATAAGATGGAATGGGGTTAGCTCCCAGAATTGTGAATATCTGGAAATTTTAGGACACGATCAGCTTCAAATGAAAGACCGAATGTTTTTTGATAGAACTGCCATGTGGCGAAACATGTATCAACTAGGTTTTTCTTAAGTGCGAAATTGTAATTTTGTGGGTCAGCGTTTTTCAAAACTATTTTCGTTAATATAATTTATAGTAACCCTTTGGTGCCTTCTTTTCAGGCTAACAATTTACCTTTTTGTTTGCCAAAATTAGTTGCGGGTGCAAACCGGGTTTTTTATGTAGGCAAACTGATTCGAAATCGGTGAAAAATAATTGAAAAAGCTGAATTTTTCCGCGGGCGAAATCCCGGGGGTTGAAAGGGGTGTAAAGTGATATTTTTCAATCTGTGTCAAAACTATTAATTTTAGACAAAAATATCTAAAGTAAAAGTTGTAGGTCAGGTTCACTATTTTTTTTGTTTGGCTAACTGAATCGGTAGATTTTGCTATAATTTCTACTGACCCCATTTATTCAGTTAAAAAATGGTGGATCTCCCAATCACCAATAGAGAATAACACCACTGAATACTCCATAAAGTCTACAGACCCTTCAAACCACTTGTAAATGGAGGTAACACTTCACAGTTGGCTCAGACCGGGTGGCACCAACAGTAATCCTATGTTGAGGTCGTTTCTTTTGTGTGTTAGTACGAGAAACCCCATTTGTAAGAGAATTGATATGATATTTTATCTAGTTATCATTTGATAGTCATTTATCGTTATTGTCAAAGTTAATTTAATTGTCTAGTTGATTTCTTTAAGCTAATAAAAGCCATATTTCCAGTGGTTACAAATATTATATCAATTTTATTAGCTTAAAGAAATCAACTAGACAATTAAATTAACTTTGACAATAACGATAAATGACTATCAAATGATAACTAGATAAAATATCATATCATTCTTCCCCTGTAGAATTTTCTTCTTCTGCAGAATTTTCTGCCCCTGTAGAATTTTCAATTCCACTTTCTACAACAAAGTTTTGAAACCGCGAGGGTGGCCTTCTAATTCGAGTAGACCTTCTAACCTCTTGTTCCGTCGAAGATCCATCAGAAGTTTGTAATTCTTGTGAGGCCTCAGTCTCTGAAGTTTCAAGACTAACGTCATCTTCACCCTCGTCAACGTTGTTTGGGAAGGGCGCTAAATGACGATTTGTCACGGTTGACATTTCTCCATTAGCTCTTCTAATTAAAGAGTAGTAAGGATTACTCTCGATAAGTTCAGCTTCTTCTACTACGGGATCAGTCTTTGAGTGACGGACATTCTTTTTTACTAGAACAGGTCCAGGCGTTGAAAGCCATGATGGTAGCGAATCCCCGTTTGGTGATCTTCGAGGGTACGTGAATAGTTTTTCATGTGGCGTAGCATTAATCGATGTACAAAGAAGTGATCGGATACAATGAAGGGCATCTTTAAGGACTTCCTCCCAGTTTCCAATTGACAAACTCTTTGAACGTAGACTGAGCTGAATAGTACGCCAAAGTGTTCCGTTCAAACGTTCCACTTGACCATTACCCTGTGGATTGTATGGCGTCGTTCTTGAGGATGCAATGTTTGAGTTTTTTAGGAAATTTTTAAATTCTTCAGACATGAATGAGGTTATCTGTCGCTGTGTATGTAAAGAGGCTGGCCAAAAGTGAGAAACAGGTCTTTCAGGCATTTAATGACTGTGGATGAGGTCATATCTTTGCATGGGTAAGCGAAGGGAAATTTGCTATATTCATCGATAATCGTTAAAATATATTTGTTTGAAGAATTAGAAGGGAGAGGACCTTTAAAATCAATATTAAGGCGTTCGAATGGAGACGTAGCCTTAATTAGTTGACCTTTTGCTTTCAAAAATCTTGGCTTAATTTCAGCGCACGTTGGACACAATGCAATCATCTCTTTTACATCATTTGCTATATACGGTAGGTTTTTAGAGCGTATCCAATGGAACATTCTACTTACTCCAGGATGGCAAAGCGCATTATGAAGCTGTTTTAATTTGTCGGTGTTCATGTACGCACAAACTCGTGACAGAGCGTCTGCTGTTGTGTTTTCCGAACCTGGTCTATATATAATGTCATATTTGTAGCAGGATAGCTCTAGCCTCCAGCGCATTATCTTCTCATTTTTAATCTTGCTATTGTGATTTTGATTCAACATGTACGTTACTGATTTTTGATCCGTAATTAAAAGAAAGTGTTTTCCAATCAGAAAATGTCTCCATTTTTTAAGACTTTCAACAATTGCACAAGCTTCCTTCTCTATTGATGAATGTCGACATTCTGGATTAGAAAGCGTTCGAGAGAAGAAAGCGACTGGACGACCCTTTTGCGTAAGCGTAGCGGCTATAGCAAAATCCGAGGCGTCAGTTTCAACAGTGAAAGTTTCATCATCATCTATTGCTATAAGAGCAGCTTTCTTTATGTCTGATTTAATCTCTTGGAAGCATTTTAGAGCATCAGGCGTTAAAGGAAAACTTGAAACACAAGTTAAAGGTTTTATCTTCTCCGAAAATCTTTCAACCCATTTCGCATAGTGGGCGAACATTCCCAAAGCGCGTTTGAGTTCTGAGTTTTTAATGGGAGCGGGAAGTTCTAAAAGGGGTTTCAATCTCTCAGCGTCTGGTTTGATTGTGTTATTTTCGACAGTATAGCCAAGTAGATCGATTTTTGTTTTCTTAAAAACACATTTTCTTTCATTTAGTGTTAAGTTATATTTTCTCGCCGCATCCATAAACTTTTTTAGATTACGTTCATGTTCTAACTCATCTTTACCACATACTGTCACGTCATCTAAGTATACAAATGTACCTTCTAGTTTCTCTCTGGTTATGATGAAGTCTAGAGTCCTTTGAAACGCTGCTACACCATTGGTAACACCGAATGGAATTCTTGTAAACTGGTAAAGTTGTCCGCAGGCTTCAAAAGCAGTGTAGACTTTCTCTTTATCTAAAATGGTCATTTGATGATATGCGCTTTTTAAGTCGATCTGACTGAAGATTTTGTATTTCGATACTTTTAAGACGACCGTTTCCATGTTTGGTAATGGGAATGCATCCAATTCTGTAAACTTGTTAATAGTCATAGAGTAGTCTATTACTAGACGTTTTCGATGAGCGCCACCTCCCGCTACTAGGACTTGTGCTCTCCAGGGAGAAATGCTTGGTTCTATTACACCGTCTTCCAGTAATTTTGATATTTCTTGCTTGATAAATTCTTCGTCTTGTATACTGTATCGACGACTCCTTACGGCGATAGGTCTGATGTTAGGTGACAAATTAGTAAAAATAGATGCTGGTGGCACCGAGGACTGCATTACGTTGCAGATGCGTAATGGTTCATGGGGACCTCCCAATTCAAATTCAATTTTAGAATGTTCTTTTAGTAGGTCGTGTCCAACGATCACGTCCGCGCAGAGATTATCGACGATAAGAAGTGGTATTTGCCTGTAGTTGTGTTTATTCATGGTGATATTGGCAAAGCAAATACCTTCGACAACCGATACTTGATTCAGCGAGGCTAAGTTAACAGACTGTGTACATGGTTTTTGACGTAACTTCATTAGGCGCGCGATTTTTCTGTTTATAAAACTGACAGAACTGCCAGTGTCAACAAGAGCATCAGCTTTATAACCATTCACCGTGATTAGAATAGTTGCACCTTTCAAGCTTGACGGTGAAGCGGCAGATATTGTACTACAGTGAGATGAACCGTCATCGATAAGACTGTTGACTGTGTTTTTGAACGAAGCCGAGTTGTTGGTAGCGTTTCGTGATTTACATACATTTGAAAAATGACCTCTTTTAGAACACAGGTTACATATAGCACGGAAAGCTGGGCACTTAAACCTTTGATGTACGTTACCACCACAAAAGAAACAACATCTTACTGATCGTGAGGATGGTTCAAGTATTGTTTGTGATGGTCGGTGTTGTGTAGCCGCTGCTATGTTTGATGCTGTATCTTGTTTTTGTTCGTATATAGCATTAATTTGTGGTGAATTGTTACTTATTATTAGCGCGTCCTTTTCAGCTGTTTCAAGTGCAATAGCTTGGTCAAGTGCTTGATATTTTATCTAGTTATCATTTGATAGTCGTTTATCGTTATTGTCAAAGTTAATTTAATTGTCTAGTTGACTTCTTTAAGCTAATAAAAGCCATATTTCCAGTGGTTACAAATATTAATATCAAGAATTACATAAAACTACCAGTTTTATGCGTCAGAAGAGAATAGGAAATAATGAATTTTATTACGTACGTGTTTTTGGTTCTACAACTACAATGCAAACCAACACTGAAAACCAGGAGGAAAGAACTAGCAAAAGAAAAGAAACTGACATGCAAAAAGAGCAATACACAAATCTCAATCTCAAATTGTACAATGCCCAATAGCATAATGAAATTAATAAACAGATACAAGTGACACAATAAATACAAAATGAAAAGCAGCATGGTTCCATTTATTACAAAGACACTTTGGGGACGTCAAATGAGCATCAGCCTCTAAAAATAACAATTCGACATTCTCTAGATCGACTTGGAAGATTTTACAGCTTGGACAACCGGAAGAAGTGAGAAAATTACGCTACTGTGATTATATTAAGTGATACAGTAAAAAATTACTAGTGTTAAATCCTTGAAAAACTACCCTTTCTGTTCTTTATGCCTCAACTCAAAAACCACGCCACCATTCTTAAAATCTCGTTATATTTGCTAATAGTAGTAAGAGACAAGTGTATAATCAAGTCTTTATGGTCTTTACGCGTCACACTACTTCATTTATGTGACTAAAGGCTCTTCGGAGGATAACAAGATGTAAATCTCCGAGTTGATCGCGACAAGGTCTTCAATTTTGAGCTTAACGCACTTCTGTTCTTCAGTAACATGTGAATGTTATACATGAATGAAGTACTTTTCTGTGCTTTTTCTTGGTTTCAATCACCTCATCCATATTACCAAATTATTGCGAGCTTCGAAAACTAGACAATCTAGGATAGGTGTGAAAGTTTTTACACTGTATAGAATTTTTAGATATCACAATTCAACTCAGTCCTATCACGGTCGCCAAAAAATATTAAATCTTTTATCTGCTATACACAATTACTTTTTCTTAAAGCACACTCACATTAACATAACAACCAAAATATATACATTGATTGATTACCCTAATACCCCCCTAATTCAATCGTATGTTATCAGAGTTTTAAAGAATTTGGGTTGGCAAAAAGAGACTTTAAATTTATATGTACTGCGCCTACAATTTCAATACAGTCTGGAGATACGCTGGTCGTACCTAGATTGCAGGAGAGGGGATATCAGTGTCGTTATTGAACTTTGTAACTTTATAACCATATCATTATCGTTTTAAACCTTCTCATACAAAATACAGCACACGTCTTGTCAGTGTCATATTTTCGTATGTACTATTACTTTACGGTAATTTCCATACAATGGCGAATATTGGCGCACTGTTCATAATCGCGTACTTTGCAAGTTTTTGTAACTGTGAGACTGGCCCGTTTGTGTCCCTGAAACAAGGCGATATTTTAGGAAGATATTTTACAACCAGAAAAGGAAGAACCGTGAGTGGCTTTAGTGGAATACCATACGCCCAACCACCCATTGGAAAACTTCGATTTAAGGTTAAGTTCAATTAATACCATCCAATTTCTTATTTTTCTTGAATTATTTCCTTAATTCCAATGTTGGGAACAGTTCAAAACAATCAGTGGATGATATGTCAAGTTAATTGAGTTGAATAATTCCACGCAGCTAATTACAACCTTAAATTGTAGTCTTCAGTTCCATTGGAGCAGTGGAGTGGTACCTTAAACGCTACGCAACCTCACGCAGTATGTCCCCAGTTTAACTACTACGATAAAGAAAATCCAAATCCAATTGCCGGAAGCGAAAATTGTCTTTTTCTCAACGTTTATACTCCACAGGTAAAATTATATTCTAATGAAGTAACGATTACACCGCGTAGATACGAGTAGGTACCAAAAGATAAATGGAATAACATAAGCTACCCTGTCCTCTTCTACATACACGGGGGATCCTTTTCAGTTGGCAGTGCTAGATATGATTGGTTGGGACCTGAGTTGCTTTTGGATAAAGATCTTGTTCTAGTCACTGTCAACTACAGATTGGGTACGTACAGAGATTTGGCAAGAGAAGATGCATTTGTTTTTAGGAGCTTTAGGATTTCTATCTACTGGAGATGACGGTATACCCGCAAATAACGGCCTAAAAGATCAAGTGTTGGCCTTGCGATGGGTTAAAGACAACATAGCGGGATTCGGCGGAGATCCTGAGAAAGTTACGATCTGTGGAAATTCAGCTGGAGCAAGTAGTGTTCACTATCTGACGCTTTCGCCTATGGCAAAAGGTAGTATCATCAGGATCAAAGTTGAAATCAGATTTAACGGTCTTCAGGTCTTATAACCAGTGCTATCATCCAGAGTGGAGTTGCAATATCCCAAATAGCTGTAATACCACGTAACGAATCGATAAGGTATGCCCAGCGGTTTGGTGAGAAATTGAACTGTTCATCGGGTACGAGTGAAGATTTGCTAAAGTGCCTCCAAGGCAGACACTTGTACGATATTGTCAAACAACAGCTAACATTTTCGGTAACTTTTGTATTGTGGCTTGTACAAAATTATTCGACAAGATTTTTAAGACTTGGGATTCTTCGGCGATTCCATTTCTGCCAACGATAGAACAAAAATGTACCGATGCGTTTCTCTGCCGCAATCCCTTTAAACTGATGCAGTCCAATGACGTACTAGATATACCGATTATGCTAGGCATAGTTCCAAACGAAGGAATAATAGTTTCCGCAGGTTAATGTAGGCCAAGCCTTAAAATACACCTAAGTTGAACTTTGCAGCTTTATCTCCCGAGAAAATAGACCAAATGGAAGAGACATTCGACACCAACGCCTTTCACGACTTCAATCTTGAATCCTTGCATTTGGCAGATAGTTTGCGCAAATTCTACTTTGGAAATCAAACGATTGGACTCAAAACTAGACCAGAGATCACTGATGTCAGTAGTTTATTACTTAGTTGGCAGCATTTCTGATATTTTTCCCAGTTGTACACAGACGGGTGGTTCCTATCAGGAGCAGACTTCTTGGTTCAGAACCATTTGGCTTACAGAAAGCAGCCGATATACTTCTATTACTTTCACTACATGGGATCGGAAAGTTACGCATCTCTGTATAATGATACCAGCTTTGTTTGTGGTACGTGCATTCTCCCTATCTTCAAAATATAAGACATTGTTTTAGGAGCCAGCCATACAGATGAATTATTGTATCTACTGTCTCGAAATGTGGCTTTTCCGGGTTACAAGCCAACGTCATTAGATGAAAAAATGACCACGACGATGACAAGTTTATGGTTTAACTTTGTTCGATATGGGTATGGGGAATAAGAACGTAGCGTGGCCTTATTTCCATTTTAGGAGTCCCACACCAGGAAATGAATCAGAGATGCCGCTATGGCGAAGGGTTGTCAGCAACAATTTAGAATATTACCACATTAAAGGACCGCGTATATTAAGTATGCGCAGTTACCTACTCTCAAGTAGAAGATATTTGTGGAGGAACATGAGATTGGATGCAGATAAGTTCGATCCATAATCCTGCAATTTAAGTTAAGTATAATGGCGGGCCAAAATGTTAATATGGCTTGGATGTTCTTTTGAAAATTATTTCTACTTTTGTATTAAAATGCTGTTACGAATCGACGCCATATTCTGCCCTAAAGGTAAACTTGGAAACGGGAATATAATTTTAATTTTTTTTATTGTAACTTTAAATATTTGTATTGATAGCATGCAATAATTGATACTTTGTAATTTTAATGTAAGAAACTTGACGCAGTTGACATAAATTGAACAAATCTGATCACATCCGGAAAGGGGATGCACTTTTATTAACTGGTAGGACTACAGAAACCCCATTACTTTATTGAGTGGTAGAGCTCAGATATTCCAATGACGGCACGTGCACGTGCGCATAGGTATCTTGTCTTATTGTACCATGATAACAACCAGAAGATAGATTGATTGACCTAACACCTCCATAATACAATAGTTTGTTTCCCAGGGTTTTAAAGAATTTGTGTTGGCCAAAAAGACACTTTAAATTAAATATGTGCTTCACTTACAATTTTAATACAGCCCAGAGATAAGCTGGTCGTACCCACGGTCCGTATACTAAACCAAAGCAACCAATAAAACGCGCTGGCAATTGTGACGTACTTCAGCCCGCAGTAAGCACCTCCTACCACAGAAGTCTCATGTGCTATATCGAAGCCTACAATACAGGCCGGAGCGCTCGAAAAAGTGACGTGACCTTAAGAGGCATATGATATATACATTACGCCTTATGCAAAATCCGTGCGCGGCTCCACTGTTTATTTTTTTACTCCTGATCCGTTCAACGTAGAGCCACGAAATATCAATAAGAGCTTGATAATAGTACATACAATCAAATTATGGTGTTCGTTAATTTTCAATAACACTGGAAATAATTAATTTTAAGGTATAAAGTCTTAAAGATGAAACTATGATAGTTGATCCGTGTTTTTCTATCTTTACGCCAAAATATTTCTTTTTATAGGAACGATATCATTATAATTTTTTCGGTGTCATATGCTCCTCCAGTTATGCGTATATAATCCCTTATCTGGTATTAATTTAGTTTTAACAGGCCCTACAAAATCGCTCATTTATTATCCGCGCAGAGCAAAATTGATCCTGCTAGAAATTTTGTTGTTATTGCTAGAATTGTATCTCGTACATCGAATGAATTGTGGCGAAAGGACACAAAAACGTTTTTCAGAATGAATTTTTAAGACATGGTCTTTTCTTTCAACTTAGCATTTTACTATATTAAACCTTGTGATAAAGAGTTTTTGTCTCTTTTCACCCTAAACGAAGAGATAGGAGGTCTGGGAATAAAAAATTGACACTTAAGGTATAGTGTACCTACTGTTGCGAATCTCGTTTCGGGCATTCACATTTCTCAAGAAATTTACTTTAGCATATTATATGTATTTTGTAAAAATTTCCCATTTCATTTTCCTCTATTTTACTGTGAAATTCACATTAACGAAGATATAAGATTTGTTCCATACTTTTATTTAACCCTGTATCAAATATTTTTAATTTTGTAAATTTAATGGACACTTAAATCTTACAAACACCATTTGAAAATCGATTAGTAAAAATTACTTGAAAAATATAATCATTCACATTGCGAGTTCGCGGATTCTTGACGTCGCGCTATTTACTTTAACTGCTGAAAAAAGGAAACAAAATTAAAAATTCCTTCTGAAAACATTTTTGTATCATTATGGCCACATTTCATTTGATATAAATTGCATATTTGTGTTTATTATTGATATTAATGATATTTTAAGCAACAATCAGGAGTAGTTTGATTTGACATTTCCACAGGGGCCAGTGCATACGTAAGCTCATCGACGTTTACTATACGTTTAGGTACCAATGTAACCAGCAAGTTTTACTTTTGGAATCGAAAGGTTTATAATTTACTATTACATTCATAATTCTCTTAATATATACAATTCCTCTGTACGTGTGTGTATGGGTGTAACTGAAGTCTCCCTAAACGGCTGGACGGCGACGGACTATGATGAAATTTTTTTTCATGTGTTTCTGTATGAGCCCGGGTGTTCATTCTTGTTTGTCCAAGTACAACTGCACCTTACTCCTTGAACACATAGCTCTGGTGTTGAAAATTCAGATGTTCATGGAGTGGTTAAGTCATCTGGATCCTGAAGAAGTGATTCTTACGTTCCCTTGTCCTAACTCTTCATTCCCTAGATGCACCTAATTTCCAATGGAGTAACATTGGATTTTAACAGCTGCGTCGGATCGCTATAAAATAAAATTATAAGATAGTTTTAGTTTACCGTCTGGTTTAATTTTTTTTTTGTACGGAGGATTAAGGAGCTGTTTTCAAGTTTCTTTCGAAATGGAATGGTAAAAAGTACAAACTGCAAATACGCGAGAATTCAGGATTGAACTTGTCTTTCCTGTAGCATTTGTTGATCCATTCAGATCTCTTTGTGTGTTTTTTGGAAAAGAAAAAAAAAGGTAAATTTCTGTTTCTCTCTTCTTGACTTTTACAGCTGGCTATACTACATCAGCGTTTACCATCAGCCATTTTTCCAGAAATCTGGAATAGCTTTGGTTTTCAACTAGGTAATGATAGGTAGTTCTAAAAAATATGATTTTACAGGAATTTAGTTCTTGGAAAACTGAGAAACTTTTCTTGGCATTGTGTAACATTACCATGAAGCACCTTGAAGTTTTTTTCTTATTGTTAGTGAGATTCAGACGTGACGCCACTCTAAATTTCTTTAATTGGATGTAAAACCACGTGTAGGAAATGAAAATTATTTACAGCTATCCAAAAACTCACTGCAAGCATAGATTTTTTTAACTTGTATTCTTGAGTCGTGTACTTATCTAAAAGAATCAGCAAAGGCGCTTCTCAAGTAATATTTGGATCATGATAATGAAGCACAAGATTTGCGGGCACACACGGCACGTTCCAAGTTTAATTCATATTTATAGGCAGAGCTGTGCAAAGGAATTGGTACAAAAGGCTTGGAAAACCCTCAAGCTCTAAAAGAGCTTGCAATTCCAAGGCTTCAAGCCTTTTCTAAAAACAGGGCTTTGGAATTTACGTCTAAAGCCTTTTCGCGTGAGCTTGGGGCTTTGGATTTCAGACAAAGAGCTTAAATTCCTTTTAAAAGAATTGAAATTACTTTTTCATTGAAAACTCCATTTTAAGGATGCAATTCCCTTTAAAGAGCTTCAATTCCTTTTTAATAGGCTTGAAATCCTCTTTAAAAAGGCTTCAATTCCTTATATGGTTCCCACTCCCACATCATTTTTTATTTCCAATTTTTGTGAGCTTGCACTTTGCAGTACGTAGAACTGTTAGAATATTGTAAAATTTTGCAACCAATAGCAGTCACGTTGGATATTCTTCAAGGTCAAAAAAAATACCTTTTATGGGTACTTATTGCCGTCTGTCTGTTCTTTACACATCAAACTTTTGCAACTAAAAACACAAAATCTAAAATTAACGGAACCCATTCTAAATGAATGCATTAATGCACTATCTCGCCGATTTTCATCTCTATTAACCTTAGATAGTAAATCTGAAGATGCTATTGTTCCAACTTTTACCATACCAAAATTTAAGTTGCGTTGGTATAATGCTATAAAAGCAACAGCTACGAAAGATTTGGAGGCCATTACACAGTTGATTATAAAGGCTGCGCAAGATCTTCAAGATTCGGATAAAGAAGCTACACAAATTCTTAACCAAGCGGTAGCTACTGATCCCGACCCTGAGGATCTATTTTTCAATTTTGATAATAATGAGGAAGTTGCGGCGCTGGCAAGTGCGCAACGTGTAACAAATATTGAATTAGAAGTTCTCCATTATCTAAAAGATCCCAGAACGGGCATTACCAGCATAAAACACTACGTCACAAGCGGGAGATTCCCCTCTCACTCCGCAACGGCAGTGAATGAGGCAACCGTTTAGTACTTGTTTAAAACAATGGTTTAGTATACGGACCGTGGGTTGGGTGGTAGCTACGAAAAAGAGGGGATATCAATGTCGTTATTGAACTTCTAACTTTATAACTTTGCCATTATCATTTTAAACGCACTAATTACCTTCTCCTACAGCACACTTGTAAGTGTCATATTTTCGTACGTACAAATAACTATACCTACGGTAACGTCCATACAATGGCGAATATAGGCGTACTATTCGTAATCGCGTATTTTGCAAGTTTTTGTAACTGTGAAACTGGCCCGTTCGTGTCCTTAAAACAAGGCGATATTTTAGGAAGATATTTTACAACCAGAAAAGGAAGAACCGTGAGTGGCTTTAGTGGAATACCTTATGCCAAACCACCTGTTGGAGAACTTCGATTCAAGGTAAGTTCAAATACCATCCAACCTCGTATTTCTCTAGAATTTTTTCGTTCATTCCAATGTTTGAGCACAGCTCAAATCAGTGTTAACGTCTAGTTAATTGAGTTGAATCATTCCACTCAGCTAATGGTAACCTTAAATTGTAGCCTTCAGTTACATTGGAGCAGTGGAATGGTACCTTAAACGCTACGCAACCTCACGCAGTATGCCCCCAATTGAACTACTACGATAAAGAAAATCCAAATCCAATTGCCGGAAGCGAAAATTGTCTTTTTCTCAACGTTTATACTCCACAGGTAAAATTATATTCTAAAGAAGTAACGACAACACAGAGTAGATACGAGTAGGTACCAAAAGATAAATGGAATAACATAAGCTACCCTGTCCTCTTCTACATACACGGGGGATCCTTTTCAGTTGGTAGTGCTAGATATGATTGGTTGGGACCTGAGTTGCTTTTGGATAAAGATCTTGTTTTAGTCACTGTGAACTACAGATTGGGTACGTACAGAGATTTTGACAAGAGAAGATGAATTTGTTTTTAGGAGCTCTAGGATTTCTATCTACTGGAGATGACAGTATACCCGCAAATAACGGCCTAAAAGATCAAGTGTTAGCCTTGCGATGGGTTAAAGACAACATAGCGACGTTCGGCGGAAACCCTGAGAAAGTTACGATTAGTGGAAATTCAGCTGGAGGAAGTAGTGTTCACTATCTGACGCTTTCGCCTATGACAAAAGGTACATCAACAGTATCAAAGTTGAAATCAAATTTAATGGTCTTCAGGTCTTATAACCAGTGCTATCATCCAGAGCGGAGTTGTAATATCCCAAATAGCTGTAATACCACGTAACGAATCGATAGGGTATGCCCAGCGGTTTGGTGAGAAATTGAACTGTTCATCGGGTACGAGTGAAGATTTGCTAAAGTGCCTCCAAGGCAGACACTTGTACGATATTGTCAAACAACAGCTAACATTTTCGGTAACCGTTGTATTGTGGCTTGTACAAAATTATTCGACACGATTTTTAAGACTTGGGATTCTTCGGCGATTCCATTTCTGCCAACGATAGAACAAAAATGTACCGATGCGTTTCTCTGCCGCAATCCCTTTAAACTGATGCAGTCCAATGACATACTAGATATACCGATTATGCTAGGCATAGTTCCAAACGAAGGAATAATAGTTTCCGCAGGTTAATGTACGCCAAGCCTTAAAATACACCTAAATTTAACTTTGCAGCTTTATCTCCCGAGAAAATAGACCAAATGGAAGAGACATTCGAGACCAACGCCTTTCACGATTTCAATCTTGAATCCTTGGATTTGGCAGATAGTTTGCGCAAATTCTACTTTGGAAATCAAACGATTGGAGTCGAAACTAGACCCGAGATCACTGATGTCAGTAGTTTAGTACTTCGTTTGCATCATTTCTGATATCTTTCTCAGTTGTACACAGACGGGTGGTTTCTATCAGGAGCAGACTTTTTGGTCCAGAATCATTTGGCTTACAGAAAGCAGCCGATATACTTCTACTACTTTGACTACATGGGATCGGAAAGTTACGCATCTCTGTATAATGATGCCAGCTTTTTGTGTGGTACGTGCATTCTCACTGTCTTCAAAACATAAGACGTTGTTTTAGGAGCCAGCCATACAGATGAATTATTGTACCTACTATCTCGAAATGTGGCTTTTCCGGGTTACAAGCCAACGCCATTAGATGATGAAATGACCGAAACGATGACTAGTTTATGGTTTAACTTTGTTCGATATGGGTATGGCGAATGAGAATGTGGCATGGCCTTATTTCCATTTTAGGAATCCAACACCAGCAAATGAATCAAAGATACCGCTATGGCAAAGGGTTGTCAGCAACAATTTAGAATATTACCACATTGAAGGGCCGCGTAATTTAAGTATGCGCAATAATCTACTCTCAAATAGAAAATATTTGTGGAGGAACTTGAGAGTGGCAGTGGATGTAGATAAGTTCGATCCATAATCCTGCGATTTTAGTTGTAATGTCGGGCCAAAATGTTAATAGGGCTTGGATGTTCTTTGGATGCCGATGCGGTTTTATCTGGCATTTGAAAATTATTTCTGCTTTTGTATTAAAATGCTGTTACGAATCGAAGCTATATTATTCTGTCTAATATTAATCCCCTCCATTGGCGGTTGCGCTCTTAACCCATTAATGCCCACCAAGCTTGTGAAAGATTAAAATAATTATTTATGATTGAATCTTGTCAAACAGTTTGTTTTTGTCATTTATGCTTTATTTTGAACTTATTTCCCTAAAACGTAAGAAAAAAAATGGTGTACTCAAATGAGTACATCGGGCACATATAGAATAAAAATCAACAAAAAAAATATGTATTTAAAAAGTCAGTCGATATGACAAGAATTATTTCCGCGTGTGAAATATCTTGAAACAGTCTCTCTCAATACAAAGAGTAACATTACACTTCTCACAAGCCCATCTAATTCTGCTGTGACATACGCTACAACGTAGTTGATTCGACAATTTTTTGGGAAAGTGGCCTGTTGGATCGTCCAGTAAACTCCTAGGTAATGAACCGGATGGTCGACTTGAAGTTGATCTTCTTTGAATTGACTTGTTATAAGACCGTAGGTAATGACGGGTAACATTTCGTTGAAATAATAGCAAGTCCATAGGGTCTTGTGGGAAAGCGAGTTGGTATAGTCTCCATGCGTTGACAACAGTGACGTTTATCATGTGGGTGAAAAGAACCCACCACCACTTTTTGCCATGTATCGCAACACGGTAACCGTTGACTGACTGATCTAAAAGATCCACCCCTCCCATGAATGCATTGTATGTCTGAAAAAGCTTCGGTTGGGGTACTGATATCTTTTCCTTTTTCTTTGACGACCATCTTTTTACTTGTGACATTGGTTCAATGCCGTCGTAATTGGTCGCCATTGTAACGACGCTATTGTCATGCCATCTCACGAAAAGCAGAGAATTTTCTTTATCGTAACGATAATCGAAATTACCGCGGTCTTTTTTTTTCATCTGAGCGGAAGGAAGAATAGGACACTTTTTTGTACGGTTCTCTCGCACTGTTCCGGTAGCTCGTACACCGTTTCCTCTCAAAGTAGTGAGCAGGTCGTAACTAGTGAAATAATTATCAAAAAACACGATGTGATCAGTAGGTTCTTTGAGAACTTTTAAAAGATCAATTACCACCTGCGATCCCAGGGGAAGTGTAGACCTCGGAATTTCAACCTCACTATTTGTTGGCTTAGCACCACAGTAGGTGTCAAAGGCATAACAATAACCACTGGAGCTACATAGCATCCAGTCTTTATAGCCGAAGCGTACTGGTTTACCTTTGATGAACTGCTTTGCAGAATGGTGTCCAAAATATCGCACCATAGCTTCATCAATCGACAAACATTCGTGAAAAATCCCGAACTGTTGGAACTTATTATTTAGTAAATTCATCAATGGTCGTACTTTGTACATTTTATCACTTCTGTCAATCTGTGTGTTATCTGCCAAGTGTATATATTTTTTTATCTCCTCAAACCTATTTCTACTGATACAATTCGAAACAAATGGCACATTCACATCTTCGTCCAGACACCAATATAAACGGGCACGAGGTAACTTATGGTAACCACTAAAAAGAAGCACACCTACAAAAATCTTGATTTCTTCACCAGTAACTTGAAAGCTGTGATTATTGCTGGCAGTGGCGTATTTATTGGTTTGTTCTACTAGGAGATTGACAACTTGTTCATCAAACAGTTTTTCAAAAATTTGAATGACATTACAGCTAGACAATTGTTCTCGTACTTTTTCCAAACGAATAGAGTAGCCATTAGCGGATGTCATTTTCAAATCCACTGGTTCGCTACTCCACTTGGGCTGACTTATTTTTGGTTTTTTTGATAGTGTAGTACAAACCTGAGATAGTGGCATGTTATATTCTTCATCGCTATCATCCTCCATCGCTATTTCAATTTCTCCCGGAACATCTTGGGGAAGACTAGCTGTAACCAAATCGTCTTCGTCAAACTCCTCTTCGTCAGTTTGGTAATCGGGTTCTGGTGGAATAATTACCACATCAATTTCTGAGTTTGGGAATTTTGTATTTGCTATAGCATCTTCTGCAGACGCTAGTGTTGCGAACCTTTTTCCATAAAAAGATGAAGCGGAAATCGCATTTACTTGTTCCATCATAAAAGAATGCCTGAAAGTGAACACTTTATAGGAAGAAAATAACCGAAAATGTATCCTGCATTTGCCCATTGTACTCAATCGAGTACACCCATGTTTACCCCAACATAAAATCGGATGTAATAAAGCTTTCACTTACCTAACCGCAGAATCTTGTTTTTACACCATTGTTTATAATATTCAAAACAAAAAAATTTCAAAATTTAACAATAAACTATAAATTTGAACAGTATTCTGTTATTGTCACGATTCAACACACAAAACCGGATGCACGTGTCTCTGTAAGTGGCTATTATCGTAACCTAGAATGAAAAAAGCGGCAAAATTGTTGTCAGAATTTATGCAGAAACTGCAAGGATCAGGATTCTGCAATTATACTTTCCATTATTAACCCATAGATTCCGCCTCAGTGCTAAAAAACAGGTGTACTCAAGCGAGTACAATGGGCATAAATGGGTTAAGGTAGATTGCCAACTTTAGTAAGAGAAAAGGTGGATGGAGACAAGATTGGAGGAGATTGAGCAGAAATTAATGAGGAATGTGAAAGAGGCAGGGAGGAATAAGATAGGAAATTAGACTTTGATTTTCCCCACAGATTGTATCAAGAAAAATATGAAAAAAAGGGTAATAGTTCGATTTACATAAGAGACGATAAAGACTGTATGGGATCAGCACCTATAATAATGATGGGTATAAAGTGAATCTCAATTTTTAAAGTTAATGTGGTCTCTAATTTTAGATTTAACACACATTTGATCCTATAATTTGAATTAGAAGTTTTCTCTAAATGATCGCTCTGTTATATTCATTTGTAATTGTACAGCTATGTGATAAATGTAGGGGACATCTAGTTTTAATTGCGTGCAGTTATTGTAAAAGTTTTTCTCCGGTCAGTGCGATAAGAGTTTGGACTAGTTTCAAGATAATCAGACGTTTTTTCGCCAGGGTAAACACAAGTGTTGTGTTTATTCTAAGACGCGCATTAAATTTGATACAAAGGAAGGGGAGCAGTAGTGGGTTAATAAAGACGAAGCGGACAGGAAACGTGACTTCTTGTCAAGCTTTTGTTTGCTGGGCGCATCTTTGGCGTTTGGCAGTATGCTGTAATCGAAAAGACAGTCAGTCTTGTTCGTAGTTTGTTGTAGAAGAACGTTTAGATAGTGTTTAAAGAGATCTACGAATAAGTAGTCCAAGTGTATGTCTTTCGAGCGCTTATGTGAATCCTTTCTATAAGGTCTTCAAATTATCTGCTAAAGTGTAGTCTTCTAGCACCAGCAAAGCCACTATTACGTCTAAAATTATATCAAAGTCAGTGTCGTTGAAATCAAGAACAAATTAAAAGGAAAGAACTGAACTTTAGAAGAAATATCAACTGGTACTTGTATAGTGTCCTGTTTAAAGAGTATCGCAGTTGACCGATATTAAGGATTTACGGTAATTAGAATTTTCTTTTAAATTTAACTTATTTAAATAAACGCAAAACGTGGTATTTGATATCTGGCCCTAAGTGCCTATTTTTGTTTTAGCTTTATAGTCCATCAGCCACCGTCTGTTTTTTCAGTATGGTTAATAACAGGCTGAATCTTCGTGAGGAGATTGGCTTGAATGAGACGTCCAAGTTTTTTCTCTATAAAAATTCTCGATAGAGGTATTTAATGATCTGCGCAAGTGTTAAACGTGTCTTTATTCTGCAAGAAAGGGTACTTCCAGTTATGATGACCGCGAGATCGTACGCGTATCCATGTGTATACGCTCCGTCCTCGTGGTTAGTGAGGAAGCTTATAACCGCACGGAAGATCAACCTTAAAATGTCGTCATGGAACATTCTAAAAACAAAGTCACCTCACTAAGGTTCTTACTGTCTATAATCGACAGAAACCTTTCCCTTATTTAAGAAAAAAGTTAAGTCGTATCTAACATCAAAGGTGTTTTACAACAAAGCTGAATTCTTTAACATAAATCAAGACTAAGGAAAATTAAGACTGCTTTTACACGGGATTCGAGTTGCCCGTAGACTGGTATCTCGGATACACTTGTACAATGTACATTACGTCTTATGAAGCCATTCAAACACGCATACTTCTGACTTCGGTCGCTCGCTAGTTCCAGTAGCCCGGCGATTTTACAACTTTGGGGGACTGATAAGCTATTGGTTCATATGGAACTCTCACGAGGATACTTTTTCACTGCACTGAAGGCTGCGAAGTGTATTTGACATGAATCTTGACGACAGCCTGTATCTCAGATACAGTATGTCGCAGACAGTATCCCCGTGTAAAAGCAGTCTAAATTGACTGTAAGTTTCTCAATGTATTTTGATATCTTTGCTCTCTTTATTCAGTTACACGTATTTTACAATTTAATTTCACTTGCCTCATGTGATACTTTTATGATCTCATGAGCTTAATAAATGATAATTATTATTAACAATTTTAATATAGTCTAGTTACCTGATCCTACCTAGACTGAAGAAGAGGGGATATTCGTGTCGTTATTGAACTTTATACTTAACTTTAAAACCTTATCATTATCATTTATACACGTTAATTACATCTTTATGTAAATATGTACACAAAAAGTGTCGGTGTCATACTTATATTGCGGATGTACAAATAACTATACGGCAATGTCCACACAATGGCGAACCTAGGCACACTGTTCATAATCGGATGCTTTGCAAGTTTCTGTAGCTGTGAGGCTGGCCCGTTTGTGTCCTTAAAACAAGGCAATCTTGTAGGAAGATATTTTACAACCAGAAAAGGAAGAATAGTGAGTGGCTTTAGTGGAATACCTTACGCCGAACCACCTATTGGAGAACTTCGATTCAAGGTTAATTTCAAATGCCATCCAATTTCATATTTTTTCTTACATTACTTCCTTAATTCCTATGTTGAGTACAGTTCAAAACAATCCGTGGAAATTCCAAGCAGCTGATTGTAACCTTAAATTGTAGCCTTCAGTTCCATTGAACCAGTGGAGTGGTACCTTAAACGCAACGCAACCCCACGCCGTGTGTCCCCAGTTTAACTACTACGATAAAGGAAATGAAAATCCAATTGCCGGAAGCGAAGATTGTCTCTTTCTCAACGTTTACACTCCACAGGTAACACTATTTCAATGAAGTAATGATTACACCGCGTAAATACGGGTAGGTACCAAAAGATAAATGGAATAACTTGAGTTACCCTGTCCTCTTCTACATTCACGGAGGATCACTCTCAGTTGGTAGTGCTAGGTATGATTGGTTGGGACCTGAGTTGCTTTTGGATAAAGATCTCGTGTTAGTCACTGTCAACTACAGATTAGGTAGGTACAAAGTTATTGAAAAGAGAAGACCCATTTGCCTTTAGGAGCGCTAGGATTTCTATCTACTGGAGATGGCAGCATACCCGCAAATAACGGCCTAAAAGATCAAGTGTTGGCGTTGCGATGGGTTAAGGATAGCATAGCTAGGTTCGGCGGAGATCCTCAAAAAGTTACGATTTGTGGAAATTCAGCTGGAGCAGGTAGTGTTCACTACCTGACGCTTTCGCCTATGACAAAAGGTACATCAACAGTATCAACGTTGAAATCAGATTTAACGGTCTTTAGGTCTTATAAACAGTGCTATCATCCAGAGTGGGGCTGCAATTCCCCAAGCATCTGCAATACCCCGAAACGAATCGATAAGGTATGCCCAGCAGTTTGGTGATAAGTTAAACTGCGCATCGGGTACTAGTGAGGATTTGCTGAAGTGCCTTCAAGACAGAGACTTGTACGATATTGTCAAACAGCAGCTAACATTTTCGGTAACTTTTGCATTCTGACACTTGTAGAAGATTATACCACACGGTTTTTAAGACATGGGATCCAACGACGGGTCCATTTCTGCCAACGATAGAAAAAAACTGTGCCGATGCGTTTCTCTGCCGAAATCCCTTTAAACTGATGCAATCCACGAACATATTAGATATACCGATTATGGTAGGAATGGTGTCGAACGAGGGAATGATAGTTTCGGCAGGTTAATGTTGGAAAATCTTAAAATATACCTAAATTTAACTTTCCAGCATTATCTACGGAGGAATTAGACAAAATGGAAGAGACATTCCAAACACTCGCCTTTCACGATTTCAATCTTGAATCTTTAGCTTTAGCAGATAGTCTGCGCAAATTCTACTTTGGAAACCAAACAATTGGCCTCAAGACTAGACCCGAGATTACTGATGTCAGTATATTTTAGTGCTTGGTTTGCATCATATTATCTGATATTTTTATCAGTTGTACACCGATGGGTGGTTCCTATCAGGAGTTGACTACTTGATCCAGAACCATTTAGCGCACAGAAAGCAGCCGATATACCTCTATTACTTTGACTACATGGGCTCTGAAAGTTACGGATCTCTGTATAGTGATACCAGTTTTATCTGTGGTACGTACTTCTCATCGCTTTCAAAATATAAGGCACCGGTTTAGGCCCAAGCCATACAGATGAATTGTTGTATCTGATGTCTCGAAATGTGGCTTTTCCGCGCTATAAGCCAACGCCATCTGATGATGAAATGACCGAAACTATGACTAGTTTATGGTTTAACTTTGTTCGATATGGGTATGGTGAATGAGAACGTCCCATGGTCTTATTTCCATTTTAGGAACCCAACACCAGCATATGAATCAGAGATGAGGCATTGGCAGAGGGTTGTCAGCAATAATTTAGAATATTACCACATAAAAGGGCCGCGCAAATTAAGTATGCGCAGTTATTTGCTGTCAAGTAGAAGATATTTCTGGAGGAACATGGGAATTAATGTTGATAAGTTCGATGTATGATCCTGCTTGGAGGTTCTTTGGATGCCGATGTTGTTTAAGTTGTCATTCGAAAATTAGTTGTTGCTTTTGTATTAAAATGCTGCTACGAATCGACGCCATCTTATTTTGTCTGAGGACCTTAAGGCCAGCACTGCTACGTTTTATGCAGATAGGTGGCGCAAGAGTAGAATATCACCCATGTCACCTAAATTTAAGAATGCAGACGTCCTTTACGAATGAGAATATAATCGACTAATCGCACATTGTGCTTTTTTATTGGAAATTTGAGGTGTGTCAATAGAGAAGTGTCTTAAGGTGGATAATACAATACTAAACCCATTGACATTTAGTGCGGAACGACAATGAAATTATTTTTCGAAACACAACTTTAAAGGCTTCTATAGTTTTCATTTGCATTATTTTTTATATTTTACTTAACTTTTCAAAATTAATGTAAAACAAAAAAATGGAAACTTCTGCATTATAGGAACTACAAAGTGTAGTATAGCCATTATTACAGAGATGTCGCAAGAAAATTTACTAGAATGGCCCACAGATTTGCAATCTGTACGTATAGTAATCATTTCCATTAAATGTTTGTTAGTCTTGACGTTGTAATACAATTGTACATTGTTTTGGAAAAATGAAATGAAAAAACTAAAAACGTTAATAATTCTTTAAGCATTGAGCATCATCTATATTTTCAGGTTGTAAAAAAATTTAGTGGTTCTAAATTATTTCCCAGATAAATAGCGGTTTTGTGAACAGATGAAGGAACGGACGTGTATCCATTTCTGCGTATTTGTTTTCTATAGGGTGTTTGTTGCTTTCTGAAGACCGAATTGGTATAATTGAATTACATTGCAAACTCTGAAGCTTGGTAGCATGGAAACGGCATAATCATCAGATTTGGGAAGTGTGTGGAAGATGATCTGCTCTACCAACCCTAATTTTATTACAAGGGCGCCATTTAAGTAGCAAATGAATGATTCGACATTGGTAGATGATCCGCCATTTAGTAGGCGTGAATTAGCCACGTACTGAAAGGTACGGTTGGAGGGGGGGGGATAGTTTTCTGGTAGATTTTAATTCATTTCCATGAAAGCTTTACACTGCCCATGAATGTATAGTGAAGCGATAATATAATTATTATATTGTTTCCCATTGGTGGTCAAACCAATTAATCAATGAAATTGTGGTTTTCTCGCAACTTTTAAAATACAAGGATATACATAGCAAAAGCAACTACGTTCAAGCATTCAAGGAAGAAACTGTTAGCCGCCATTCCATTAATTCCCAATGTATTAAATCCGTCGACTTACCTAATTCGTTTTCGCTGAGGGAGGCTGTCCCCAACTTGAACTTGTATCCACACCATCACCGTTAGAGGACGATTTTCTATAAGGTACTTATTGTAAATTCTATTTTGTACAATTGGGGTTCCGAATCCTTACGGAAAATCATTGTAAATCGTATTTGTTTTAGTAAGTAAATATTCGTTTTGTACTTTCTTAATGAAGATGAAAGAGGTTTTGTATATTATACCGTTTTAGAAACTCATATTTGGAATTGTTAGGTATAAAAAAATCAATTCCTTATATAAAAATTATTCCATTCAGGATTACTTAAAGAAAACCTCCAATTGAGTGGTAGGTTCGATATTAAGTACAAATTAGTTTAAACAAGAGAGGCCACTGATTAATTTTTTTAGATTTGAGTTTTCAAAAGTAGTAAAACACGTAAAGGATATAAAATGGAATTGCCCTAGATGGATTGAAAAATGACTATTTGTGAAGGATTATAGCCTGGAAAACCGGAAGACGTGAGAAAAATTACGCTGTTATGACGATTATATTAAATTGTTTCTGGCATCAAAATAAGCAACTTCCCGTATATCCCGAGATCATCGGCGAACAGGGAGATGTGACGTAATTTTTGCAGGGGAAATATGACACTCGATTTGGCTATATAAGCAAGTTTCAAGACATTTCAAATTTCCACACTGAAGTAGTAAATAGATCGCACTGTTCTAAATTGTGTGTATGTGAGTGATAAATAATACTTTATTGTTATTAATCAATTCCTTTCAAGACTGTTATACATTTATTAGTACTTAATTGTAAATAAATAAGTCACGTAATTAAATTTAAATTTTGATTCTAACAAAATTGTAAGGTGGTTTTACCTACTTAGTTTATCAATCAGGAAGGGTCACTTGCAAGGTTTTTTGAGTACGAATTGGTAAGGCTTAGATCATGTTCTTGTGTGTAACGTATTATAAAATTCCAAAAGCGCCCATGAAATCCAGGAGTGGGGAGTGGTTAATTGGTTATTATGGATATTTTCAAGTGCGCGATACAACTTAATTTCACTGTATCTTATGCAACCCGAAACAGAAAGATTCAACCAATATTTTTTTGTTAAAGATGACCACCCATGTCTTTCATTAATTCGGCGTTAGATCTTTGTTTAACCCAATTTTTGCATTCTGCCTCAAATTTATTTTCAAAACGTAATTGGCGAGGTTTTTGCCTTTCATCATTAAAAAAAAATAGTGTCTTACTATTCGAAACAATCTAAGTTGTTTTACAGGCTCCTCTGTACCACCCATTGATGGAAAGAGAGAAGTAACAGTTTTTCAATTAAAGTTATCTCTCATTTTTGAATGTTTTCCCCTTGGAGACAAAGACGAATTTTAGCACAGAAGGGATATCTATAATTGATCGAGTCGCAACTATCTTAATTTGTTGTTTCTTAAATATCTTGTCAGGTGACAACGATTTACGACGACTGTGGATACTGTACCTGCCAACACAATTATATTATCATGTGTTTCCCAGGGTTTTGAATATTACGAATTTGTGTTGGGCAACCACGCACTCTGAATTTGTATCCATTGAGTTAACAATTTCAATAGCACTGGTCCTTCATACATTGCAGAAGAGGGGATATCAATGTCGTTATTGAATTTTAAAACCTTATCATTATCATTTAGACGCACAAATGATCTCCTTATATAATAATTACAGCAAACTTGTGTCATACTAAAGTTCTTGCGTGCGTACAAATAACTATACGGTAATTTGCAAACAATGGCGAACATAGGCACACTGTTCGTAATCGGGTATTTTGCAAGATTTTGTAGCAGTGAGACTGGCCCGTTTGTGTCCTTAAAACAAGGTGACCTTTTAGGAAGATATTTTACAACAAGAAAAGGAATAACTGTGAGTGGCTTTAGTGGAACCAAACCACCCATTGGAGAACTTCGATTAAAGGTCAAGTTCAAATACCATATACCTAACTGCACATTTTTTTTAAAAGGTGTATTACAAATCAGACCTGTGTGGTTTGTTAATTAACAATTCCAACGTTTTATTGCTTAATCAATATGTTGAGCACAATTCAAAACAATCAGCAAGACATGTTGACGCTTAGTTAAAGGTTAAATTATAACATTACACGTGTCGAGTTGGGTACCTACACGCAGCTAATTGTAACCTTAAATTGTAGACTTCAGTTCCATTGGAGCAGTGGAGTGGTACCTTAAACGCTACGCAACCCCACGCGATTTGTCCCCAGGTAAACTACCGGAAGATAAATGGAATAACTTAAGTTACCCTGTCCTCTTCTACATACATGGGGGAGCATTCTCAGTTGGTAGTGCTAGGTATGATTGGTTGGAACCTGAGTTGCTTTTGGACAAAGATCTTGTTTTAGTCACTATCCACTACAGATTAGGTAGTATAAGATCTTGAAAAGGAAAGACGCATTTGTTTTTAGGGGCTCTAGGATTTCTATCTACTGGAGATGCCAGTATACCCGCAAATAACGGCCTAAAAGATCAAGTGTTAGCCTTGCGATGGGTTAAAGACAACATAGCGAGATTCGGCGGAGATCCTCAGAAAGTTACGATTTGTGGAAATTCAGCTGGGGCACATAGTGTTCACTTACTGACGCTTTCGCCTATGGCAAAAGGTAGTATTAACGTTGAAATCAGGTTTAACGGTCTTTCAGGTCTTATAACCAGTGCTATCATTCAGAGTGGGTTTGCAATACCCCAAATCGCTGTCATATCACGAAACGAATCCATTATGTATGCCCAGCGGTTTGGTCAAAAATTGAACTGTTCATCAGGTACGAGTACGAGCTAAAGTGTCTTCAAGACAAAGACTTGTATAATATTGTCAAACAACAGCTAACATTTTCGGTAACTTTTGCATTCGGGCTTGTACACGATTATACCATACTATGTTTAAGACTTGGGATCCTGCTAAATTTGGCAAATAGGCTGCGCAAGTTCTACTTTGGAAACCAAACGATTGGCGTTAGAACTAGACCTGAGATCAGTCAGTAGTTTAGTCCTTGGTATGCAGCATTTCTGATATTTTTCTCAGTTGTACACAGATGGGTGGTTCCTATCAGGAGCCGACTGCTTGGTGCAAAACCATTTAGCACACAGAAAGCAGCCCATATACTTCTACTACTTTGACTACATGGGGTCGAAAAGTTACGCATCTCTGTATAATGATCCCAGCTTTATTTCTGGTACGAGCACTCCTAGTGTCGTAAAAATATAAGTCGCCGTTTTAGGGGCAAGCCATACAGATGAATTGTTTTATTTGCTGTCTCGAAATGTGCTTTTCCGGGCTACAATCCTACGTCATTCGACGATGAAATGACCGAAACAATGACAAGTTTGTGGTACAACTTTGTTCAATATGGGTATGGCGGAAGAGAACGTCACATGGTCTTACCTCCATTTTAGGAACCCAACACCAGTGAATGAATCAGATATGCCACCTTGGCAGCGGGTTATCAGCGACAATTTGGCATATTATCAAATAAGGGGGCCACGCAAGATAGGCATGAACAGCTGTCTACTCTCAAGTAGAAGATATTTCTGGAGGAACATGAAAATTGATGTACGAGTAGATAAGTTCGATCCATGATCCTGCGTTTTAAGGACGGAAATGGTAATATGGCTTGAAGGTCCTTTGGATGCGGATGCGGTTTTATCTGGCATTTGAAAATGATTGTAACTTTTGTATTAAAATGCAGCTGCAAATCTCTACTCTTGTTCATAATTTTTATTTCTTTTTTTTAATCATGTATTTCCGGCCCCCTTTTGGTTTTACACTATGTAGCCCTTGGTTGCATCGATTCCAGCAAATGGTTTGGGCGGAGTTGTTCCAGAGTCAGTGTAGGATTCGACAAATTCTTCGACTTTCTACCCTTAATATGCTATACAATAGGCGTAAGGTCGTGAGATACGGCTGGGTTCCCTTCAAACCCCGTTTACTAATATTCCAGCAAAGGTATACCTTAAAAAAATATGAACATCTCCATACTTAATTATGATTATTAATTTATTGTTTATCCCTTTAGCCTTTTCCTTAAGAACCCAGAAGAGAATTACTGACTGATTGATACCGAATACATCTATTTATATTCGCATTGATAGAAAAATTCAACTTTAATTGTAAGGAAAGCAAATGCAACGTATATATAATGCGTAACTGTCAGGTGCTAATAGAAAATTCGTTATTTTTCTATATACACCCTGTATAATAAAAACAAATCGGATTGAAACACGTTAATATATTAAGAATATCCAGTCTACAACTTTACAAGCAGATGGCGTCCACAAGAACACCAGGTTAATGCAAATGGCAAGTAGGTGGTTAAATCCGAGGCTAAATCGTCTTCACAAAAGTGTACTGTTGTGTAAATTACAGGGTGTCGTTTCTCTATGTTGAAGTAATGTCGAAGATGAGAGCGAGCCACCCTGTTATGAACAATTTTCGTGTTGTCAACGTAATTTTCGGTTTACGCATTGGATACAGCAGTTGTGTCATCCTGCGTGTTAAATGTTTCAATTTGTTTGATACGAGTTGGGGGAATTTCGTTCAAAAAGACACAAAATTGGAAAATTTCTTAAACTATCACTTAGTTTCTTTTATTTTAAATATACAAATTGTTTAAGAGAGTTAATTGGATTTGTTGTACTTAGTGGGTATCATAAATCTTAGAACGCGTAAATAAGAAAATATTTCATCATAATTTCGACGTAATGCTAGATAAGGAAGGAAGGTGTTCATCAGTCCAACCACTGCTTCAAAGACGCTTGGCTACATTGCTCGAGCCCTGAGGGAGCGAAGTCACAAAACGGAGAGACGCGCTCGTGGACTAAACATCTCACTCACCAATAAAACGCCTCATTTATACACTCATTGCATAAATAACTATTTAGAACTTTTAAAATTTGTTTTGATCGTTTTCAGGGCTTTTAAAAGTGTCTAAAGGTTTTTCATTATCCATAACTTTTGGAGCCTTATCCCCGGTTTCACAAATTATGGTTAAGGTTAATCAATGATTAAAAAAACAATCTATTGATTGAGACTTTCGGCTGTTTTATGCTCTGAATTTAATTTTTCACCAATAAACAATTTTATCAGTACACAGAGACTCAAGGGCGTGTAAAATATACGTTGATCAATTATCACTCTCTGCCACGTGTTATAATCTACCGCTACAAAATTCTCCTCTGAAGTTATTTTCTCAGAGTAAAATGTAAATAGGAAACAATTTATTAACTGAAACCGTGCGCCTTGGAAACTGAACCGGCTGGAGCCAAAATGGCATGAACTGAATTTGAGACATTATACGGCTAAATCTACTTCTTCAGGAGAAAGAAAAATCATTTGGCCTCGATGTGTAAGTAAGTAAACTTGAGAAATATAGCAAACTAGCTGAAAATTTAAACCGTTGTTCCTTGTTTGATGATAAATATAATACTGAAAACAGAATTGGAAAATACGAAACCGTTCGCGAGTTATCATGTATACAGAGAGACGGATGGACGGACAGAAAATTCAAAATCGCTCGTTAAAAATTGATAAATTTTTATTTATAGCATTACTACAGATGTACCTACTAGATTACTGGAGTTACACTACAATTCGCTACTTTTTTCTTCCTTCGGACCTTATTGTCCAGCTTGGAAATTCCTTGAAAATGATCAGAAACTTCTTCTAATGTTTTTCCTTCAGTCTCAGGTAAGACAAAGAAAAGCACTATAATCCCCAACAGGCTAATACTACCATATAGATAGTAAACACCTCCTAATGTCATGAAGGCAATCAGTTTCAAAAACAGATAATTCGAGAAAAATCTTAATAAATAAGAAATAGAACTGCCTAAGCCGCACCCTAGCAGACGGGTTTCATGAGAAAACACCTCCGCCATAACAACCCATGCCAGTGTTGAGTTCCCTACGTGATCCGCAATGCTGAGCATAATCAATAGGGTGAATGGTATCCAGCCATATTTGTCCGCACCTAAGTCCCTCACAGAGGAATTCTGAACTTCCAGTATAATGCCTTTGATATTGGCAACGTTTGTATATGCCGCTATTAGCAAATTGCAAACACATAAACCTCCCAGCGAAATGAATAGTAGTACTCGTTTTCCAAGGCGGTGCACTAAAATTATACAGAGGGATGATCCGCTTAGTGAAGATACTCCCAAAATTAGGGTAGCATAGTAGGCGTTGATGGGCACGTCCATTGTCGCCATAATGCTTACGGAGTAGGTTTCCAAGGTCGCCAATCCCGTACAGGTGTGCAATAGAAACATAAACGCAATCAACAGTAAAGGTAAAGTAAAGCTTCGCTTCAAATACCGCCTCACATCATTCCAATCAAAACACTTTCCGGATTCATGCCGGTTCGCAATCTCGTCTATCTCTGCAGCAACATCCGTTGGCGCTTTCCATCCTCTAAGCCAAGCTAAACTTTTCTTTGCTTCTTCGGCTTTACCATTCATTATCAGCCAGTACGGGCTCTCGGGCACGAAACAGAACAGCGCAAATGTTACCGTTGGGAATGCGCAACTGATTAAAGCGCATTTACGCCAATTATAGTTTGTCCCAAGCAAGAATTGGATGACCAGTCCTATAAATATCGACATTGAACCGGTTGCCGTTAGGGTCCCTCTGAGCTGCGGCTCCGTAATTTCAGAAACATAAGCGCAGAACTAAAACAAATCTTCTTTAAGTTAACCAGTGCAAAAGGTCGTACGTACGGACGCTTCCACGAGACCACCGAACAGTCCCGTTATGCCCAAACCCAGATATAATTGCCAGAACGCATTGGAAAAATAAAATAAAAGCCAGGCAGCTAGAAACGGAATGGTCACCAGTTGCATGGATCGTTTACGTCCAAGACGTTGCGTTACAATCCCTGACAGTAAACTTCCGATGAAGATAGACAGCGTCGATGTGGATCCTATTTAATTGGTATCATTATGCATCTGATACATAACTGAACAAAATTACCCAACCATGATACTTGATTGGCACTTATACTGCCAAAGTGATTCGTAGACCCGTCGAAAACTCCACCTATTAATATCGTTGTATATCCTATGCTCATCCCCAGTGATATCATTAACCAATTTTTTACCATTACAGCAACAATTTGTGGTAGTGACTGCCTGATGCTCATATTTCGTAACCTAAAATGTAAGCCATGTCATCGACTGATCTTACCATAAAGTGCATACATTTTTCGGCAGTTCGAATCACTACATACATATAGTTTGGTTTAACTAACGAGAATAATTTGGCAACTTGAAGTCCATCTGTTTAACTTCATAACGAGAATAAATTCCTATAATTGCCGTTACCTTGGACCTGTAGTCGTAATAATATATTGTCCGTTTACCTTCAACATTTTAAACAATGGTGTATTATACACGTGTGGAAAACACCTTTTTTTACAAACAGCCAAAATTTTGGATTCGGTCAAAGGCAAGAAAACTAGTTTCCAATCGTTGGCTGACTAATGATCGCGCTCGAGTTAAGCAGCTAATTTAAAGTGCTACTTTGAGACCTTTTGTTAGCTGTCCCGTAGTGCAAGGTTTATAAACAACATTTCCGTGAGTGAGATAGGTAAGCACACATTTAAGTAGGTGTTTTACTGTTGAAATCGGCGTCCACACCTGGGACTTTGGTCAAGTAAATAAATAACTTGAACGTCCAAAGGAAAAGAATCAATTAAAAAGAACTTGAGGAACGAAACGTTCCTTTTCTGAAAACTTAAGGGTTACAAACTTTACAGACAAAGCTTTGATTTAGTATTAGGATTTCTAACAGTAGCTGGTTTGGTGTACAGATTTTTTTAGAAATTCAGTACCGATGTCAATTTCCTAGTTTGTTTCATATTTAATACTTTCGGAAGATTTTTTCTCTGTTTTGCGTTTATAATGACAGTATTCCGATATCAAAAATAGTGCTGGAATGAGTTTCATTCCAACACTATTTTTGGTAACTATTTTCCACAACTGACAGATTTTTAAGAACATTTGGTATTCAGTGGTTGGCATGCTCGTCTATCATCCAGGCTAATCATATACGCGAATGTTCAATTCAAAGTTCTGCCTGGATGATTTAGACGTTAATACTTATCTCAACGGTTTAGTAAAATGTGGACTAATTTCACTTATTGTTATAACATTATGTTACAGTTATTAACGATACGGGTAATTGAAATCATTAGGTATTGAAAATTCAGTGTAGGTACTTAGAGAAATCCACATTTAATATAAATGAGGTTTTATAACCTAACAAAATTACAAAACTAATCTTTGTCACTAAATGTACAATTATTATAAACTTTTAGAATAATTGTGGAATTATTGCCTGGTAGCAAATTATGAACAGTCTCTTCTGCTAACTGTCGAAGCTCTGGAGGAGTGGAAGGAAGAATTTCTTCGCACATTATTCACTTTTTATTGAAAAAACTAAAATATACTGCACAAATTCGTATTTGACGCGCTTGTTAAATTGAATTTTTTCAAAATGTAGCGTAGCCAACTTAATTTCTTTATTGAAAAATTGTTGGTGTTGCCAACTTAATTTCTTTATTGAAATATTTATTACAGAAAATGTCAGAATTGTTAATTTTTTAATACAATTAAAATGCTCAACAGAGAAAATAGTATAAAGCATATGTTGCAGAAGGCCTTTCTAGCACTCGTTCATTCGAACCTTCGCCACTACGCGGCTCATGTTCGAAACTTGAACTCGTGCTAGAATATATAGCGCCTTCTGCAACTTATGCTTTAATATACTATTCTTTTCTGTTGTTACACCCCGTGTGAAAAGCAGGAAACATATTTGAACTGCATGCGGTAACTGTCTCCCAATGATTTCACTGATTGTGACAATATCTCTCGATTAGGACCTTTATGGGGCGTTATTTGGTGTTCTAGTGCGACTTCTGTCGGCCCAACGCAAACCAGTGCGTGAACGTACGTACGTTGACAACTTTCCGAGATAACGGATTGACGGATTTTTTCATATATTAGACATACGGAAACGAAAAATAATGGGCAGGATTTTTGAAAAAAACATATTTTCAAATAGCAATCTAAGACTATTTTTAAGTTATTATTCGAAAGACCTTCTATGTACAACCGACAAAAATTATGCTAGGTTGAAAAAAAAATGGCAAAGTTAAAAACCAAAAATATTTTTTCGGAAAAACCGTTATTTTGATATCGATAAAATTTTGGCAGTATACATTAAGCATAAAGGATATAAAACTGTCAAAATGCACCGTGAAGTCATACAACTGTTGTTTTCAAATAGTACCTAACCCACTTATTAACGAACTACGTTTTGGAGTTATTACCCATTCAAAAACGAGTATTAACCGGTAGCAACGTTGCTTGACTGTAAACAATAAAATAATGAATTATTAGCAATAAACACAAACTAAAGTAAGAAAAAACGCTAGAAGTTGTAACACAGGAACAATGAGTATTTAAGAAAGAACGTATCATAAAAAATTATCGATTATCGCGATCTAATTAGATTTGAAATGGTAAACTACTACCTTTACGTTTACGATAGTTTTCAAGAAAGCATTTTTTGCATAGAATATATATCAATTTCAGGAAGATTTATGGGTGTTTAACTTCATACACGAGACAAATTGGAGTGTAGTCGAGGGCGTATGGGAACATTCCTTTTTTTATTAGACTACCAGTTCCGGTAATCTTATATTTCAATCAATGATACTTAATTAATTTATATACAGGCTGTCGATTATTGCGGAAACTAGCAGGGATATCAAAAATGATATGAAATCTTCTTCATATTGAGAGGCCCATTTAATGATGCTATGCACATTTCACATAACTGTCTCTTAACATTCAAGTGTAGGCAACTTAATTTTTTCAAATACAAACCTATCTATACTTTGTATGACTGTATTGAATATTCTTATTCTACATCGGAAAATAATAAACTTTCGTGAGATCCCTACACTTATCATTCTTTGAAGGCACTCTTCTAAAAGCGCTATTTTTTGATTGAACAAGGAAGCTATTCGGTCAAGAATTTGGCACATTTTTTTTAACTCTGACGAGTTGCATGGTAGGTGGTTGAGGTAGAGAGGGGCATTTGGAACCCATGTTGAGAGGTTCGGGTGTAACAGTTTTATTTTTGCAAGTACAATAAACTTCTGTTGACTGTAATTGTCGGTTCAAGGTGGAATCATATGGGGCGAATTGTCATTGGTGCTTTCATTTCGACCGTTGAATGGGGACGTTGTATTACTTTTTCCAATTGATTATTCTTTACAAGCATGTTGGCAGACGGCTAAACGTAAGCGGAGTGTAATTAATAAATTTCACGTTGGTTTAATTGCAAACTTTTAAGAGTAATCATATTTTGGCAATTTAATTTATTGATTGTGGAACACACGAATTGGTTTTGGACCGAGTTTCTTCAATTTTTCTTTCATGTTGGAGGCTTTAAATTGGATTTATTAAATGCAAGTGACTGCCATTTGCTAAATCAAGTTTAAACTAAGTCAATCGCGACCGTAATATTATTTTCGAGACAACCCTCTTATTAATTGGAAGACATATGATTTCTTTTGTGTCATAAGATCGTTTACTAGCCTAGGGGAAATTCATAGGGTTGGTGAACTTTGTCCCAACTCCCAAGTTTTTGAAATTTGGATGGGCATGGTCTTGATATGGTTTAGGAAACCATCGCAAGCAACTTGTGCGCGACCTTTTCTATCATGTCACATGATACAAAAGGTTAAACTACAAAGGGTGAAACTATGCAGAAAAAAATTGGGAACGCTCTTGTAGCCCCCAGTTTAAAAGAGAAAGCATCCGTTTTTTTGCTTGTTTATTTAATTAATCAATTACTATGAAACCTACGGTGATCGGGTTTGTCATATAGTTTTGTTATCAAAAGAAGTTACTGAATACGGATTTTCCAAAAGATCGGATGAATTTTACTTGCTAATAACAAACTGTTAATTTTAGAGATTAATTTTCTGCATTTTGTCATAAAAAGCAATAAGAGTTGAAAATGAGCGTTCCGCAGCAACTGTATCTTATAGAAAATTTTATTCTAAACAAGTTCATTTCTATTCATTCTTTCCCTCAGAGCAGTAGTTAACGAGATATTCGAAGTCAAATGCGAAAAAACACGACATTTTCTTCGTGTTTTTGTTAATAACAATATGTTCCGGCCGTTTCCGGCCAGGGGGACTATGATTTTCGGATTCAGCGGATTTTTTTACATCGGATACGCTTGGTCAGGGGCGTACCGAGGCCTCAGGGGGCCCTGGGCTAATATTTGTAGGGGACCCCTTACTTAATGAATTTCGGGTTATCGAAAAACATCTGCATTTCAATTTTATAATTTCTTCAGAAAATTATTATTAAAATTACAGGTCTAAGGCAAACGCACTAAGTATAAATACAATGAAAAATATTGAAATACAGCACAGATTACACAGAAACAGTGAACCTCGATCTGTACACAGCGGCAGGCGAAAAACCCTTGATTTTTTTACCCATTTTTATTACAAAACAAGTTTCCAGTGGTACTAATTGCAACAATTATATTTTTATTTATAAATTATAAAGACAAACAAATAATAAATCAAATAAAATAAAAATTATAAGATAGAAACAAAACAAAAGAAAACAATAAAATAGAAAAAAAACAAAAAGAAAAAAGAGAATAAAAAAATAAATTAAATACAAAAAAATATGGCGCCCAAGTTTATTAAATAATAAAACGTCAGTGGTGTTTATTAGCATTAAGTAATAATGCAAGCAAATTTTCAAGTTCAACAAATGAGATAACGAATGTTGGTTGGGGAAAATGTTGAACATTTAAATGTAGAACCTCGTCTGATACACGCTCCAATTACTCGTACCTTGGGGTGGGTAGCGTACAATATTGCCTGCACGGTCATTCCATGAAATAGAATAATAGAGTTTTTTCTCTGTTTTAAACGAATTTTTTGAAAGAAATTTCCTTTATGTGATGGTTTTGTCCGTCCGTCTGTTCCTCGTCTAACTCGAGAATCAAAAGAAACAGAGGGCAAACCTTCCCCAATCAACTCCCACGAGTTCAAGGATCAGTGCTTTTGAATATGAGTCGCAATAAAAATTGCGTTTCCGAATGCGAGCTAAGTATCAAAAAAGTCCCTTACTGAAAACGTATACGATGCTTCGTATCTTGTTTTCCTTTTGGACCTCGGATTGCACGGAACGTCGGATTACCGTGTGGTCGGCATGGGGCCCCCGCGTCAAGCCCCTGCCTAAATCCGCCCCTGCTTGGTTTCGTTGAGTGAAGTGACAACATCCAGCCCAAACCGTAATTTGACTGGACTACTAAGAAAATCGATTTTTGACAAATCATTCTTTCGTTCAATTTATAAGGAAGACTTTGCCTTTGCATTTTCACCGAAAATCGACTACCCCAAAATTGACCGGGAAAATACTTTTTTCCTATTAATTAAGGTTCGTAGATTCCAAAACATTGTTACAAGTTCACGTCAAGAGGCATATGTACTTCATTGTCTACACAGTTTTTCAGATCCACTCCTAGTAGGTACTTTATACGCTTTGTGGTGACACTCTTTTTCATATGGACATCGTAAGTCTTTTCGGATATACAAGCAACATAATGTCCAACTTGGCGTTTTTGTGTTACTCACAACAGTATTTATAGTATTTTCGAAACTCATTGTATTATTCTTCCGCAGCTTTGAGAACTTTAAACTCGACTTTAAACGTCTATTATTTAATCCATGACCTATTAGATCTGAAGCAAAACTGCAAAACGGAAATGGCATAGCATAGCATTCCTTACCCCTGTAAAAATATGTATGTATGTGCATTCGTCAATTATAAGGGACCAAAAACTATAAAACCCAGAGACTTGATAAAACCCTTTTTAGAAAGATACAATCGGGAAACCTGGCTCCCATTATTACATTTTCAAAACAAGAAAGGCGGCTCTTCCTCGCTCAATTTTTTGGAGTTGACCTTTTGTGCCATTCGCATCAAGAATTCCACCACCGTGGGTATAAGTATGAAGCTGACACGTGGATATCACCTAAAACAGAAAATCACATCTACAGACTTCAGCCGGTTTCGAACCCTCTCGAACCCTGCAAAGTTGCCTTAAGTTTTTTTAGAAAAAATATCGCCGTTCGGTCAGATCTTCTTGCATCATTTTGAAAATTGAAAATTTGAAAACTCTGCCCACCTATATGCCCGCCGAAGACCGGAGAATAGTGTGTCTTTTGTCACTTTCGATTCCTTACCGAACAAAAAAAATTAAGCCCATGTTTCTCCTATTACTCCCCCTCACGACATTGTCCACGTACCGAGGTTGATATGGGGTGCACTCCAGCGCGTGGAAGTTCCCCTTTTTCAACCGTTTTTCCCGGCAACTCGTTTTCCTGCGTACATAATATGCAACCCACTGCTGTCAGTACTTGAGAAACGATCCGCGTCTTCCACTTCACTTCTTTACCTGCCACGATAGAAAGCGGATAATAATTGAAACAATGATTTTTGGTATTTTTCATATAATTACACTATCACACTTAATAAAAAGTAATAATAATTTGTTTAACAATAATCACGCAAATAGAGAATTATGGCAAATTGGTTTTACCACAAACAAGGCCACGTTCTTCCAATTATCTAAGAGGTAGAAACTTACAATTAATTAGGTACACGGTAACTACTGTTTCTAAATGGGTTTTGCTCAAAATCACAGCATATGCAACAATAAATTAATAATTTGTAAGAGTTTAGAGCTTACTTACTGTATGCGATACATTAGCATTGGACTCGTTATATTCGAATAAAGTGTTATCGATTCCTTTTTTGAGAGGTTTCTTTTGGACTTTGTTGTCCAACTTAATTTTTTGGGCAAAGTGGTCGGCGATAGTCTCCAAAGACTTGCCTTCGGTTTCAGGTAGATAAAAATATAATACAAGAAAACCCACGATACACACAGCGCAATGTAGTGTGTACATACCAGGTATAGATATAAAAGAAGTGACTCGCAAAAATAAATTATTGGCTACAAAACTCAAAAGAGAAGAAACTGCACTGGAAAGGCCACAACCCACCGACCTAGTTTTGTAAGAATATACTTCCGACATTAGTATCCATGGCAAAGCGTGAACACCGCCATTATTCATAAAGCTCAGCAGGATTAAAAACGTTAATGGCACCCACTTGTAGTCTGATACATCTAAGTTGGTTGATACGCCACTGTCTTTTGTTAGATTGATTTGTAAAGCGCCAGAAAAGTGGGCATAGATTGCTATGATCATGTTACATATGCACATGCAGGAAATTGCGATAAAAAACAAACGACGCTTTCCTAGAAAACGTATGAGGAAAATACTTATCAAGGATCCTAGAAGTTGAACTGAACCCAAGCAGACGGTAGCATAATAAGAATTAATGGGCAACTTCATTGTTCCAAAAATTGCAATAGCATACGTCTGCAAGGTAGAAGCACCAGTAAATGAAGATATCATAAATGCGAATGACACTAACAGAAGAGGGTAGATAAAGGACTTTTTTAGGAAAGGTGTAAAGTACTCTTTAAATGATGACTGCTTTCTGGTCTGCTGATCCCTTTCTTCTGCGTAATGTCTGATAATGCTTCCAATTTCAAGTTCAATATTTTCAACTTTGGTCCACCCCCTTAACCAAGCCAAGCTCTTTTTTGCTTCCACAAGCTTGTTATTGGAGATCAACCAGTATGGACTTTCAGGTACAAGAAAAAACAAAAAAAATGTTACTAAAGGAAACGCACAACTAATTAACGCACAAATTCGCCACTTAAAAAACGTCCCAATTAAAAATTGGAGAAACGATCCCAGCATCACCGACATGGATCCCGAAATAGATAAAACTCCTCTTAAATGGGGTTGCGTCACCTCCGAAACGTACGTGTTGAACTAGAAACACATTGAAAGTATGCACGTGATTTGCTTAGATACTCACGGGCCCTTCAACAAGTCCGCTAAAAAATCCCATCACCATCAACACGATGTACAAGTGCCAAATTTTCGTTGAAAAGTAGTATCCAACCCAACACGATACGTAGGGAATAGTGACAAACTGCATGGACCTTTTCCGTCCAATTGGCTGCGTTACGAATCCGGAGCCTATACACCCCACTAACAGCGTGAGCATCGAAATGGAACCTAAAATTTACTGATTATCTACAAATATTCACACTAGTACTCGTTCGTACCTAACCAAGAGAGCTCACTTTCTCCTGCACCTTGAAATTCATCGTCATGCAGAACACCGCCGATTAGTACCGTGCGAAATCCAATACTCATGCCAAACGAAACCATTATTAGGTTCTTCACCATAATTGCCATTGTTTGGGATAGGGCTATTCGAATCATCTCTGCTACCTGTAAAAATCGTTTTAAGATATTGAAGCGGTGGTTTGTGCCAAAAACGGACATTATATGGATGTTATCAAGAGGAAAACTACCAAAAACAAAAGCAGCCTCCCTTTTGAATTGAAAATTGAAAAAACTGTTTTGTAGACCGTATATGAGATGATAAAAATGTATAACAATACAAAAGTAATTACAGCCGTAAAGGTGTGAGAACTAGGACACTGTTAAGCTATTTTTAAATGGAAATGTAAAAGGTTAATAGAAGTAATAAATTGGTTGTAATAACAAAAAAATAAGGGCACACATGGAAAAATCAGGTTATGAATATACTTTACTGCTAATTATATAAATTGTATGTATTTAAATAAAAAGAGAGTAACGTTAATTAGTAATTGGTGCTATTAAAAACGGCATGTTCAGTAAATACCCAAACATTTTATTTCTCAACTTACACATTATTAGATATAGATCATCCCCCTCTATCATCGGTCCTCCACTTTGCAAAAAGACACCTGATTTTGATAGTACTCTTCATAGTTCAAGTTTATTTTTTGCCGGACTAATAGAACCTTCATATAAGATTGGATATGCCATGTGAAATCAATGTTTCATTTTAAAATTTAAAAATTTGTCGTTCCTTATGTGGTCTCTCAGTGACACCTCTTCGACTCTGCGTAGATACTTCATCTCCATTACTTCCAATTTTGTTTTCATTTTTGAAGTGACCACCCACGATTCACACCCGCACGTTAATATTGGTCTAGAGATCGTCTTATTAAATATAGTGCCAAGTCGCATCTCAAATCAAAATCCGTAGTTACTAGCCTCAATGCACCACTCCAACAGCACTCGCTATAAAAATATAAGATTCTAGTAGGACGTGATATTCTTTTATATTTACTGTCCTAAATAGTAAGTTTCATTGTTCATTTTCTCCTACCGCGATAATCGTTGTCACTCAGATTTATGTGTTTGTTATAAATTCCTATACCCTACTGTGGGTCTTGAGACTTTGGTATGGCATTTCCTTATTATGCCGTCTATAAATAAACTGAAGAGTACAGGGCTCATGACTCCTTCTCTTAAATTCTTAAATCTTATTTGATGCGCCCTCTTTCTCTACTCCTTCTTGTTTCTATTCTTCCCCCCTAAACTAGGGGTTTTTGTTCGTTCTAGCTCTTCCTCCTACAGTTTCTAAAAATACTACCTCCACGTACTCAATATACTGCTCGACTCAGTAAATATGTGCCCTTGTTTGTCTTTATGGTTCTAATTTGTAAGGTGTGACCGATTTCAGTACTTCAAAGAACAGTTCTTAGTTTTTCTTGCTGTCGCTTTCGAGTTTCCTACCAAATTCGTGCCACTCTGCATGCTTGGCTTCACTAACTATGTTCCTTGGTTCCTTGTACTTTTTTGTATGTGTCTTCCGATTTACTATATTGATATTGCTTCTTAGCGTCTTGTTACTTTCTCCTTTGTATTATTATTTTACCATGCTGTTCGTTTGATGTGCTTGTTTACCCTCTTTACCCGGCATGATTCCTCGCCCGCCGGTATCAATATCGCTTTTATCTGCTGCCATCTTTTCCAATTGTCTTTTTTCCTCCCTTAGTCGCAATATACGCGATAATTTACTGCTATTTACATCTCGTCCCTACCTTTTATTTTTCCTAACAGTAGTTGATAGTGGTCACTGAGGATTTCTGCTCCCCGTCTCACTCTCTTACATTTTTAACTTGGCTTACGTATTGTTTTTGTATGATTATGCGTAGTCTATGATTGATTTTTCGTTCCTGCTGTTCTTATATATTTCTATTTTCGAAAAAGGTGTAACTATTAGCTATTGTGCAGAATTCCAACTTCCGTTGCTATTTCTCACTTCTTAATCATCCTCTCTTTTTGCGCTTGCTTTCATCAGTGGTGCATGATGTCATTCAACCGACCTTTAAACACGTTTATTAAGGATCCTCAGATTCGTTATAGTTTTGAATCATGGTTGTCCGTCCTTTTGTCCGCCCGTTCGTATGTGGTCGCTATAACTCTTAGTTAAGATCCCCAGTTACTTTTTATAACTTTTAATTTTTGTCCATCAGTCCGTCTGTCCGCCCATCTGTCCGTCCGTGGCGTTATAACTCTTTTTTATAGTGACCGATCGTGGAAAGATTTGGTGTACGGATACTCTGGGCATTAAGGTAGGATGTTACACATTGATTAAAGCTGGTTCAACAGGAAGACTTCGAGTGAATCGGGAACAGGAGAAAATGTGGGCTCAATATAATAGAAATCAACATATTTAATTCCCTAAGTCATCTTCGAGTTCGAATATTCGCTAGACTCTTAGATCTGTAATAATTCAATATAATTCTCTCTGTGGTCTAGGTCAAAAGTTTTAGAGCAAAATGTAGGTATCTACTCAAAATTATCGTTACATTAATTTGGAGTTGTAAAAGCTTTCATTAAAGGCATGTTCTTTTTCTGTGGCCACATGTATTTTGACCAAAACATGTAAAAATCGTTATTCCTACACCAAAATCGTTGGGAAAAAGACTAAGAGCATTATCTCAATACCCAAGACATGAATTTGATGAATTTTTGTTGATCGTCCGTATTTTGACCAAAACATGCCAAAATCGTAATTCTTGCACCGAGATCGTTGGGAAAGAGACCAAGAGCATAATCCCAATGCCGTAGACAAGAATTTGATATGGATCGAAATTGGAAGGTTAAAATAAATGGTCGTAATGTAACACTGAGGATCCTTAATTTTACCCACGGTAATTTCCCACAATCCAATTGGCATTCGCTATTCATCTTACGGACAATTAGAAACACAATATTTCAATTGGATCATAATGATCAATGGAGTTCAAAGTAATTGTTCATATTATCATTTTAGCATAGGTGTCTAAACAATGAAAAAGGTAATATTCAATAATATAATTATACAAAATTGGTCAATTCTTATGAGCAAACAATTGATTACAACGTAGGTACTTACTGTGTGTAATAACTTAATGTGAATACACTAACGTAGTTCTCACTTGGTTGAATATTAGAACGGAATTTGGTGATTAATTAGCCTTAACTTTTTATTTTGCCGGACAGTTCACGTACCTATTAATAGAGAACCATGAGGAAGAAGTAAGTAAAATTTCGTTGTCTGACCTAAGCAAAACAAATTTCATCCAGCGTTTGTTATAATTAGCGAGGTGGTGGGAATAACAAAGGGTAATTTGTAAATACCCTTTGTCTAAAAAATAATGGTGCTAATAGCGCTGTACAAACGAATTAAGTAATATAATAGGCACAATTACTATTCCAATTAATTAATATACAGGTTAATGCCAATACATTACAAACATGCCAGCTTTAGTTATTTACTCGTACATCAGGAATCCAAGAATTATTCTGCTATCACAACCGTCATAAAATACATGAGCTGGGGCTGGCCATCTAACAAGAAGGAATTTAGAACTGACCTTCTGCCGTTTTTAACAGAAAAGACGAATTATCGATAGTTCGTAAAACCTTAAGTTTTGCGAAACACATTTACAAGGGTTACCCAGGAGTAGGACAGATTGCACCAAGTGCTACAATCATAGCTTGTTCCACAGGATGTATGGGAACACATATATAGGAGAATATAGGAGACAAAAAGTTTGGTTTCCGAAGAGGAGGTGGAGAAAACGATCGGCGAAAGATATTTGGAGTAAGGAAAACCCTGTGTAGCTTTTGTTGGCATTCTAACAGTAATGGTAGACGAGGTGATGATAGAACAAGTGAAAAGATATATAAGTATTTAGGTACAATGGGTACAATAGGTCACTGATGTAAACGCTAATTTTGGGACTACTTAAGGCGTAGCGTAAAAAACATTTAAAATTGTTGGAAATAATGTGTTTTGGTTTCCCCCTGCCACACCAATTTTCTTTGCATACCTCCATGTTGCACCCTCATAACGGCTGTTAAATCGGTCAGCATTACCATATTTCGAACTACTTGACAATAATAGCTGGATGCATTTTCTGGCACTTGCCAGTCTCAAATTTTCATATTCAATGAACATTGTAATATGCATATGCGATAGTAAATCCGGTTTGAGAAAGGTTTCATCATGGTTCAGGTAATATGATGCCATGTGAAAAAGCATATTAGAATAAAAAAAGGTTAATAGATTCAGTTATGACTTCAATGACTTTGAATTAATACAATGTGTATTTTTGTAGATGTTATTACTTACTCACCTAATAACACACAAATAACATGGGTAGGTAGGTTCCAAACCAATACGTTACACACAACGCACTGATCACATAATGGTTACTGTCACTTGTTAATATTGATGTAATATTATTCTGATTGATGATTCAATATACTTATTAATTTTCCATTAAAAGATACCTGACAAACTTGACATCTAACACCGCGGCAATGGATACCTACCAGTTATCTCCCACTATTTGCACTACATGCGAATATTTTGGTTTGTTTCCTACTTTGTAATCAACTAGCGATAGGATAGTGCAAAACGAACGGACTCTTGGAATTCCTTGAGATAATGACGAAAACTTGGCTTTGCAAATAAAACATCCCTCATGCATGTCTAATCGTCATACATTGACGTTGAGAAATCACCTTCCATTTAGCATGTTCTCGGTAGGCTCTGTTGCTTCCGAAAAATACTGTACAGCAAAGATGAGCGTTTCTCCTTACTCGTGCAAAAAAAAACTCGTGACTAGTGATCGAGTAGCTATGCTAATTCCTTTTTTTAAATGTTTAGGTTCAGTGATTTTACATGTTTATAGGTAGTACATTGTATCTAGTGAAGTAGATTGTAAAATAACGATTTGTAAGTTACATTAAAAACGGCTATATTACGCGTAACTTACAAGAGGTAGGTTTTTTATGTAATTTATGTCTTTTATGAAATTTACGTAACACGTTTTTTATTTAAAAAACCGTAATTTTTGTAAGTTACACAAATGTAATACCTATTTGATACATTTTGATCGGTACTACCACAGGCCATCAACGGTACTACCAACGTAAACGATTCACCGTTGAATCTAGTTTGGTTTAATGAGGATGATACAGCATCTAATTCGCGATCTGGAGCTTCTTCCTCCAAACGACGCGTGATGGCGAAATACCTACTGCTTGGGTATTTTATTTAATACACCAAAATATATAATTTAACAAGGTGTTCTTGTTTTCAAACACTCACAACATTCAAAAAGTTTTATGGAATATTAAAAAAAACATAAAAAACATAAATGACTGTAAAATTACGTTTTTTTTTAAAAATGGTAAGTTACATAAATTACATAAAATACATAAAAAACATAAACAATTGGTAATTTTACACGGAATATTACGCACTTTAAAAAAAAGGGTAATTTAACATCACTAATTGTATCGAATTTCGTGTAGAGTGAACCTGTAGGATGAATACGTTTCAGGAATCTAACTTGTTCATTTCAGACCTTTAAGGCGTCATTTCTATAAGTGAGATGAGATGATTCAAGACACGTTGATTGCTTCCACGTGCATTTTTATTTGTAGTAAACAAAGTTTCAACAATGTATTACCTGTTTCAAAGAACATAAAGTTGCAAGTATAGGTACATTGACTGTGTCCAAGATAGGAATCCCCGAAAGCATATAGAAGATACGACGCACGATGGTCAAATTAGGGAAAAGTTGTCCAAGAAAACCAGAAGATTCTGATTACTTCCGAAGATATGCCAAAAAAACTGAACTTTGCCGATTTGGTTTTTATTTTTTTCTGATGTAATTTGAACAGACACAAACAAATAAAAAATACTTTCTCTTTGGCACTTTTTGACCTCTACAAGATACCGTCGAGCGATTTTCAATATAAAGTTCAGTTTTGGGGAAATCATCATGAACTTTATTTTTTATGTGGCCTGTAAAAAAAATACCTACACACTGTATTGGGTAGCAGTTTTTATTGCGAAAAAAAAATGAAAACTGTTGATTTCAACACGACCGTGAACCCGCGCACAACGCCCTAATCGTGCGACAATACGTATCGGGTAAATTTTCCACTTTCCAAGAAATTCCGATAGGTATTTGCACACGAACCAAGAGTTGCCAACTTCTGTTTTTTTGTGCCGTACATCGTTGTATTCGCAATAAAAAATGATACTCAATACAGTATGCACTTTTTTTATGGGCCATATAGAAAAATAAAGTTGATGATGATTTCTGCCAAATGAAACGTTGTATTGACATTTTCGCTACGCTGCGCTGTCTTGTAAAACTGAAAAAGTGACAATGAGAAATTGTTTTTTATTTTTTTGTATTTATTTAAATAACATCAGAAACAAATAAACACCGGCAAATTTCGATTTTTCTGGCATATTTTCGGACGTAGTCGGAATTTTCTGATTTTCTGTTAAGCATGATAATTACTGATTAATTGCGCGTCTTTTATCAAATCTGACCATCGTCGTATCTTCTATGCTTTCGGAGATCTCCATGATAAACATCCTTATCTTGGACACAGTGTATTTTATCATAAGGATTAATTTTGCAGGTGATGAGAATGTAATATGCAGATTTTTTCTGTGAGAAGTGGCTATTCAGCTGTTGGGCAGAACGTCAGTCTAAGATAAGAGGTGTGTGATTCTCTATCTTTAGTAATAATTTCAATTATTATACCTTTTAGTGGATTTTTGCAAATTTATTTGCAAAAAGGTAGCTTTTAATCTCATGTTGGGCGGCTGACTGGCAGCAAATGAGGGCTCGTAGAAGATCGCTTGTAGAAAGACGAGGAGTGTACGTGTTTTTTCCTAGGGGCGAAATTAACCACCTTTTGCAAAGCGCACATCTTAGAGGGGTAATCGCCCAAAAGTTACGTTGCGCTGCGAATTTTGTCACACGGTTTAAAGTCTCTTAAAACTGAAATCGCGGTCTCGCTTTCTGGTATCACCAATAGAAGCTCGAATTCTGAGAAGTGACCCAAAACATGTGTACTATTTCGTGGATCCGCCAAAATGGTGCATTTATATGACTGTGTGGGAGCGTCAGAAGTAGGTACCGACAAAGGGAATGGTGGTAGCGTCCAGTAATATCTGACTTATAGATGGAGTCAAACGCGATTTACGAGCGAACGGGGCGTTGGAAGTAAGTACTAACAAAAGGAATCATAAGGTAATTATTAATAAATACTCGAAACCTTCCCCATAAAGTTCGACATAATGATTATATATCAAAGTAACTGCATGCTTAGACTATAGTCATCATCGGGTTACGGTAACAAAACTATTAACAAATCGGAGAGGAACATCGTTAACTACTTACAATGGAAATAAGGAACAAGTTGTAAAATATTAACAAGGATTACAAGTTTTGCGTCGGGGTGGAAATTTAATCAAACTTAAAAATACATTGACTAAAGAAAGAAGATATAGAGTGATAATTTTTTATTTCAGCATGTCGTTAGTAAAAAATTGTCAAAGTCCTCGTGTGAGATCGAAGGGACTTTAGCGTATTTTTTCTTTTGTCAATGAATTTTTAAGTTTTCCAGAAATTTCCACCCCCACGCAACCCTTGTTAATATTTTACAACTAGTTCCTTGAACTTTTTCATCGTAAGTAATTAACGACGCTTGTCTCCGATTTGTTAATAGTTTTGTTTCAGTAACCTGATAATGACTACCGTTGAAACATGTAGTTACTTTGATCTACGAGTATAATCCTTAAACTTGATGGGGAAGGTTTCGAGTATTTTGAGCAGAATGGATCCATCTTCGAAAGGGAATCGTGGTAGTCTCGGACGAAATATTATTCATGTCACTCATGGTGGCGTCAAAATGCGAATTGCCGGTGAACGGGACGGCGGAAGCGGGTACCGACAAAGGGAATGTGGTAGTCTTCGACAGTAGATTTTATGGATGGTGGAGTTAAATCTAGAATACCGATCTGCCACACAAATATGCGCTGAAGTCCCTTCGGCCTTACAGGATAATTTTTCAATAATTGTTTGCGTAACACAACGAAGTTGATGTAACGCGTATGTAATCGATTTCTTGTCGTCTGTCTGTCTGCCTGCTCGATTGAGATCTCGGCCTTTGAGCCACCTAAAGACTTTGGGTTTTCTTTAATCGATAGGTGCTATGGTCTATATTTGCCCTGTTCTTTCATGTATCTCCTATGTTAGGCCGATGCCACATACATACAAAAATCAAAAGAAAGTCAATCGTTGGTGACCTTGATTATGCCCTTGACCTTCAAGTTCATTTAAAGATCAACTTCAGAATTTGAAAGGCACCGTTTTTTAATTTTCCCTTTCCCTAAACGTAAAAAAAAAATTCTTTTGTGACGAGAGACATTAATTGATAGATCAAAGCAACTAATAAGTAAGAAACTGACCAATAGTAAAATTTCCCGCTCTAATCATTCCGAGGGATCCCGTTCAAGAAATAACTTTGAAGATCGAGGTCAAGATATTCCTGAAGGGCTCCACAGATTGGTCCCCTTAGCTTCAAGCCTCAACTTTTGAATGAATATTTTTTCCAGAAAAAATGATCCTATCAAGATATGCAATTGTCTTAGCATAAATGAACCACCTAGTCAGGCCCGTGCTGGGGGCCATAAGGGGGCGGAGGCCAGGTATGCCGAGGGCGCAAGGCCTGTAAAATTACGTGGTGGGGGGGGGGGGGCTCCAGCACAATGGGAACGACCAACAAACTTTTGGAAAATTACTACTTCCATAATAATGTTACATGCATTTAAGGTGTAATTAAAAATGCATTAATTAAACTTACCTTGGCCTTGACGCACATGCAGTTGCAATAGCAAAACAATAACAAACTAAACAAAGCTAACATACACGCGTGCACTTTAAACTTGAACTTGAACTGAAAGAATTAAACTACTGCAGAAGTAAATGGGGAAAGGCAATGGCATGATCTTATATCAGATTTTATAAATGGATATGAATAGGGAGTCCTTAGATTATATTTCACTACTAATCATGTGCGAATACGAGTAGGTACTATAAAAAACAATTCTTACTTTGTCTTGTCTGGTGTCATAATCATTTATGTACACTACTACAAAATGATGTAAAGCAAAACGGTTTATCTTATCACAGGTTAAATAATTTCCGGTGTAATTCAAATTGAAAGTGGTATTTTTTATTTTTATGGGTAGTAAAACAAACAAACACTGCATACTTTGTGTCAAAAAGTAGGTAGACAATGCAAGCGTTGTAAAAGAGTAATCTAATAGTAATCTCTTAATGATTTCTGCCGAAGCGAAGCAGACTTTTATGAAGTGCTCTTTGTATTCTTATTTACTTTTGTTTAATTTAGTAACACACGATTAGTAATAAATTGTTTAATGTTTTGCTCAGTCTTAGGGCGCTACTTACAAGGGCGCAGGGGGATATGTCCCCCTATCCCCCAGGGCCAGCACGGGCCTGCACCTAGTGTAAGCTCACCAATTATTTAAAAAATGCTTCATAAGTAACGGAGGTGATCGACTGGAATTTTTTACTTACCCTGTACAGTGTATAACAAATACGGCGAGTTTTTCGTAAAAGTGAACATATATACTACGCAATTATTTCTATATTCACTTTAAAAACATACATCAATCTAATCAACAAAAATAACTGACACAGTTAGATAACAAATGAATCAATATGCACCTGTAAAGGAGGGAATACACGATGGATAATTACGACAAACGTACGCGCACATGTGCGGTGAACAGCAGCGTCAAACATTACCAACAAAAACACGATCGAACATTTCCTTAGACATCACAGTCGAGTTAGCAACCAACCGCTATATTGTAGTAAAAAAAATGAAAATTTGTTGTGGTTAGCACAGATATCACCCTTACATCTGCGCATGCGTGTTCTGTCCAAAAGCTTTTCAGTTCTTTCTTTTATGACTGCGGACAGTTTGGAAGTAAACATTTATAATGTTGGAAACATATCAAATTTCATTTATTTAAAAGCAGTGGTGGATGAATTTAATGGATCACTAGACAATAGTCAATTCGTTAAATAAAGAAACTAATTTATCAGAAAGAAGTCATAATTGCATTGCATAATGTTTTAGGGCAAAATCTTCTTTTTAAACTCCTGCAATGGGAGATCTTCCAACCCCTCCTTTTCATTCAACCGGCGCGACGTAGATCCTTTTTTGAAATAGACAGAAAAGGACGCGGGTGTAAAATGTAAAACATTTAAGACTGCTTGTCTCTTTTATTTTATTTTATAACGAATGATGGAAGACCATTTATTCACTTTCGAAGAATTCTATACTCTTCCTGTCCAAGTCGAGTCCATATTAAACTCCCGACCACTGTCACCTCTTAGCTCCACTCCAAATGACGCATTTTTTCATCTGGAGACGTAGGAGATTTACCTACAAAACAATTGCCTCGTTACCAAAATTTCCAATGATGCAATAACGTATATGGTATCGATGGTTCAAGAAATATATAGGAGAATTACAACGTCATAAACGGTTTTCTGACACTACTTCTAATTTTCAAATAGGACAGTTGGTCTTAATAAAAGAAATTAATTCTCCACCTTTGTGTATCATGCGTATCATGAAAATTCATCTAAGTCGAGATGTAGTGCGAAGAGTAGGTACAAGCGTACGGTTAAAAATATAGCTCCAGTACCTAATGTGGAGATAGAACGTGTTGGAAATTTAATTCAAGGTGGGGGGGGGGGGGGGGGGGGCATGTATGCGCCAATCACCTTAGCTTTGGAAACAATGACAATGTAAGTTTAGTTTTAAGTTTCAGTTTACAGTAAATACAAAATACATCAAAGCATTATAGCTTATACACTACTTAAATCATTCAATTCGTTTTTACTCATAATACCACTCTCCAAAATTGTAGGTATATTATCCTATCGACAATCTCTCAAAGTGACAAGAGTGGGTCTAGTTTGCTTTACACACGGTATACGGTAGCAGGGAGACTAAGGGGCCCTAATGATTTTAGTAAATGATAGCAGGTGGACAATATCTTATCAACGTCATTAAGAACGGGGTAACAATGCGTACGATAGCGCCAGGTAGTTTTGTTTTGCATTTCATTATGCTTATGAGGTAATCGCCGGAGACATTTTAACTGAAATGTTCGTTGGTGTTTTTTTCTGGAAAATCCGGTAATCTATTTTTTAAGTACTTTGTATTATCATAGATAGAAATAATATCTTTAAGTGCCGATGTAAATATTGTTTCCGCCTTTACATATGGGTACTTTGTAATCACATTTCAAGGATCAATATTTTTGAAAAACATTTCTCTGGTAATGGGTTTAATTACAAAACAAGATCGGTACTGAAGTGACCCACTTTATAGATACTTGTTAATTAATAATTAAGCTAAGAATCTTTATCTTTAACTGGAATTTTTACTAGAAATATCGAATGTGTGCGCGCTTTGCAACTTCGTAGACGCAAAGGTCATTTATAACGCCCAATTTACGTTAAACCCTCGTTATTACTAAAAAACCGAATTCGGTTATGTGACGAACACAATAGAGGCAATATTTAACTTGTAAGAAAGCAGAAGGCTGGGGGGGGGGGGCAGTTAAAAACCATTTATTGTAGAGTAAAGAAGTAACTTACTTTGTTAAAAAGGGGTGCAATTAGGTCGTTGAATGAAATTAATTAAACCACTGTCCATTTCAACCCCTAATACCAGTCCGCATTCTCGTACTTAGTGGGTCCTGAGTACTGTCATTTATGCGTTCGCATACCTACAAAGCCAATATATTATTTTATTATTAAAATCTGGCCCAAAAGACGGAGTTGAATTCGTTGCGGTTCGGACGCGCCGTTCGGGTAGGTGTAGAGATAGTGCAGGTAGTGTAGAAAATGCTTAGTAGGTCTCCATCTAAATAAGAGACATAAAATTCGAAACCATGGCCTACGCTCGATTAATCAAACGTAAAGTGTTGGCACAAGAAACTTAGCAGGTTCCAGGTAGATCTTTTGTACCTTCTTAGTAAATTCTTCTTTAGTATAGACATGTCAATTTTACTTAGACCATACTTGCATTTATTAATCAGGACTTACTTGTAGAGGCAGATTTCACGGCGCTCCAAACTTGTAGACCGTGTAACCGGGGCCGAATGAAGTTGGCCACTTGTTAATTAATAAATGAGCAGTAAGAATCTTTAACTTTAACTGGAATTTTAAATTAGAAATAACGAACATGTACCTACGCGCCTTGTAACTCCCTAGACGAGGGTTATTTATAATGCCCAATTTACGTTGGACCCTCGTTATTACTTTTATTCGTAACGTGCCCTTTTCGTACAGACCAGTTAAATTAACGACAGGTACAGCTTAATTTAAATCGATAGTAGTAGTTAAGTACATTTTAAACCTGGCAACGGGCATCAAATTCCATGAACGCACGTTAATTGTATTTGCACAGAAATGTGAAGGTTAATAATTATGACCGATACCAGATAAACTGAGAAAAGTGTCTAATCATCACAAAGTGCGATAGAAACCTATACGTGCTACCTATGCCATTCGATAATAGTGCTCTGTTTCGAAAGTATCAGTAATCATATGTAGACGAGTGGGGTATAGGTGGAAACAGTGCTAGTGACTGACAAATAAAGGTAAATACTGCACTTTGCATTCTACACGGCATTGGTTAGCGACCGTTTCGCTCCTATTTTTAAAACAATTCTTTAAAAAAGGAATAAACAGTTCACAATCCAACGTAGCATTCAAAAACATAATCAATGTCCAGGGTAGAGGCTGATTGTTTATTAGATCAATGAAATAGCGTTTACGATCGGTCTGTTTGTCTGATCGTGTATGTATTGGAATTATAGATCCGTTTTTTGATAATTTTTTTGACCTAAATTCTATTTTTTCCGATTGGTATGCATCTCTCTTAACATATTGCTTTTCTAAAAACCCGCCGCGTAAACGGCCAAGTAGTTCAGGGTTGTAAAAGTAGAACGGCTTCAGATTCCCTACAGCGCAGCGGTTAGTTCGTTTGGGTATAAAATCTTTGTAGTTTTTTCGTAAGGTTGAGCGCCACCTCGCTTCTTTGAACAACTTAATTTTCACTGGATAAAACTGGGAAGATACAAGGAAAGTAACAATGTAAACAAATAAGGAAACTGACCTTATACTAGCTTACATACGTATATAATTCATTTTCGAACGATAAGAGACTTACAGCGTTAATTAAGCTACCTGCCTCTGAAGCAGATCCGCGTACGAAATAATGACATCGATCATATATCGATTCGAGTGAAGTTTTTTTAATAAAAGTCTATCGTATCGTATAGTGTTCCGAGTAAAGCTCCTTAGAGAGGAATTATCCGAGTAATTATTAGCTTCAGTATTTTAATTCCAATGATCCAATTCATCATCTACTCGCTGAGGTTACGGGTTATCCTGATTAAGTGTTGAGCTTGCGTTTCCAAAACCCCCACAAGAAAATTGCCGCCGTCCGCTATCTTGAAACCGGTATGGGTAACCGCAATTAAGTTGGGAAAATTCCCGCGGTTTGAAATTAATCAAATTACTACCACTTTATAGCGTAGCACTCAACCTACCTCTAACCAATAACAGGGTTATCAAAAAACAATGGCTACATTTACGTCGTATGAACGTAGTAAATAGGTTCTATCTGATTCTTGCAGATCCGGTTGACGTTGCAGGGTTGAAATTCGATCGGATGCAATACATGTGATGTGATGTCAAATTTTTAGACATCACTTTAAGCAAAGAATACTTAATAATTACTCTTTGCTTAAAGCTAAATTCGCAGTTATTTACGATTGTATTTCACAATACCTCTAATAATGCAAATCAAAAGAATTTATGCAAAACATTTTCAAGTTGGTGAGACATCCGGTTATGTCAGCTTGCTTATTATTTTAAACGGAACACCTTGTATTTTTAGATTATACACAAAATACTATATTTGATGTAGGTATAATGTCATATAGGTACCTAAATCTATCCGTTTTTGATATATTTTCATTTTCGTCTTGAAAACTGCTGTTAAGCAGGATTTTAATTGGGGCGAGTTTTCTTTTGTAGAGGAGGTTCCATTTTCGTGGATTGATTGCGTTGTTTTTGTGAGTATAATTAATTTCTTTTATTCAATTTTTAATGTTGTTTGTGAATTACTGTATCTATTTATAATCAAAATAACAACAATTACTGAGTTATGAAACAGTAGTATGCAAAATTTATTGATATTTAACTTCTTGGTAGATGATTAATGGAAAGGGGGCTATTTCCACATAAACATTTAAAACCGCCTGGCACACATTCAAAATCTACTATAGCAATACAGCGTGGACAGTTGCGGTCTCGGTTGCAGTACGACATAACAGGGAGAGGGGCCGGGAAATAACATGGAAAAATACATTTTCGGCCTGCTCCCCTACAGGAGAAATAAAAACATATCCATATCCATCGGATGACATAAAAATATGCAACTGAGGTCTTATGCAAGCGTAAAAACGAAATAAAAAAATTCTAATAATCGATAAAAACTTGTTGGCCATGGAGTAACATGTCGCACTTGCTAAGCACCTACTACAAAAAATCTTTCCTTTGACTGTCATCTCACTTCAACAACGAAAGGATGAAATAATTTCACTATAAAGGAAAAAGTATTTATTTTTTGCTGGCAACCGTTTACACCAAATTCGTGCTTCTTATCAGTTTCAATAGATTCATTAACAATTTTGGAAAAGAAGATAAGTTGGTACTGAAATAGTTCGATAAGACTGTTACAAAATACATAATTATTAACCTAATATGAAGAATGAATAATTATTAACTTAATATGAATGCAATAAAAAACTGATGAATCATCCTACCAAGTGATACTTCATTATTGATCCCGTACCTACGCACAAAAACGAAACCAAATACTGTCAAAGTCTTTTTTGACAGACGAAATGCACGTGTGATATTTTTTATGATGCCCGAAACCTTACCAAAAATTAAAAGTATATGTGCGTTTTGCTTTTGGAGGTAGGTATATGTAGACAAATGAACGAAATACATTTTGGCAACCATCTTCGTCGATGAAGCGTATCATCTTCCAGGGGCGAAAAAGTAAGTTGTCAATGACATAACTATAAAAAGGTTTAGAGCTAATTCATTTTTCCAAATGTCATTCATTACTGCTTCTGGTAGATCAATTTAATGGGCAACTAAAAATAATCACTTTTTTTTTAATTCGGTGCTTATGACTAACGAAGGTTTTATAACTAAAGTGGTGGTCAGGATATGCTTCATTAAATTGCTGAAAGCAGGATCTAGTGGAATATGACCATGTACCACTTTCTAAACGTGTTGCACTACGATAGTGAGCCATTAACCCTTCAGTACATGCGCTCTACGGATATAAGCGAGCACACGCGCTATGGTGGAATTGACCGCATCTCATTTTGTCCCTTTTTTTGCGGTAATTAATCTGATTTTACCACTAATATTGCAATAGCACCCAAATATCATTATTAACACCCTTTATACACATAAAAGCTATTATGGCACATAAAAACTGAACATCAAGAAACTACTCCCCAAAGAACTATTGGTATCGCAGCAATTGGTACACAATTTTTTCATATTTCACTCCTAACCATGAGACGTACAGCACACACAGTAAAAAAAA